GACTCATGATCTCAACTCTATAAAATTACTAAAATCTCCACAAAACCCCTTCTGATAATTAATATTTCCTTGAAAAAGCTTGGACCAGATTGCCAGGCGAAACGTTGGATTTAATTAAAATTCATTCGCTGAGATTTTACAAATATATTATTCCTATTTTAATGTCTCACATCAACTCGGCACCCAAATACTGTGAAACTATTCGCTCTAATTTAGACGAAAGTTCTTATATAAGTAATTAATATGTTTACATATCTCGGGAGTGAAATAGTTGTCACCAATAATATTAGATAATCACAGATTGAGCTAACTTGGAATTATTTCATAACATGACAAACGAGTTGTTTTTATAGTTAGGGATTTAATTCCTACGAGTGTAATATAGAAGGATTTATACATTGGAACGAAACAACTGTTTAATCACCTCTTGGTTTTCAATCGTCTCGTGAATGAGTTCAAGCTGTGATAAGTGTAATTAATGAAATGCTTAAAATCTCTGTTATGATAGTTGAAGAACTGATCATTAAGAAAAAGCAATTAAAGATATTGATTTTATTTTCTGTACTACTAATCAGCAGGATAATAATTCACTTTTAAAAAAATTATTATTATAACCATCTGACTAAAAATTTGTATGATTATTTTTTTATTAGAAAAGGATTTAAACTGACAATAAGTTTTTTTCTTTAATGAAATGATACCGATTAGAAAACTTAAAAATCTGAATGTATTAACCAGCTTTTCCATCATTCTCTTCATTGTCCATAATTACTGTAGTTGTTTGTTTGTTAATGTCGTAGTTGAAAGCTTGAGTCAATTGAAGTTAGACCACCATGGAAAACCTGGAAGCACTGGACGGCTGTTTCGTCCTATTATGGGACTCCTCAGCAGTGCGCATCCATGATCCCGCACTCGCGAGTTTCGAACCCAGGACCTACCAGTCTTGCGCCAGAGCACTTAACCGATAGACCATTGAGCCGACATCCAACGGTGTTAACGTATAACTTCAACTGATCCATGAAGTTGAGCAACCGTTTACCAATTTTCTTCAGTGAGTTGATATCTCACAACAGACGTGGTTTGAACTCCACTGGTCACTGCTTCACACTAGAACTCCTGGATTTACCTCTCGAAGTCTCCACAAAACCCCTTCTGATAATATTTGTTAATGATCAGTTTATTAAAAACATAATGGAATGTATGGTTTATAAGATCGATCAAATTGTTAGGGAAACATTAAATCGTCGATAAACTCTGAATGTGTATTATATGATATCGATAATAGAATAAAGTTTAGAAAAATGAATTATTAGATTCCAGTTAAGTGACTCATCGATACGATGACTATGGTAGAAATTAAAGTCACCAAGTTTATTCATGTGTGGGGTCGTGAGAACATAATGATGATAAACTCCATAATTGAATTAAACAGCTGTCCAGTTCTTTTTGATTTTCAATGGTTCCCCAGTTTCTGTAATTTCATGATGATATCTATTGATGGATTGTACAAAAACTTCTCACAACTACGAAAGTAGTTGTATATGTAAGTGTTGTTTGTACTAAGTCGTTCAACCTATCAAAAAGTAATATTACTATGAAAAATATAGCTCCTTTTACAAACTGATATCCAAATCACATATTTTCCCCAATATAAACGCTCGTTTTACTGAACCAATGAAATTTCTTGCTTGGATAACAGGTAATAAACAATACTCATAGTGAATTCCTTATATGTACCAACATGCTTATCATTAGTTTATCAAATATTTACATAGATTATACTTGATAACACTATAATAAGAGGTTGTTTTTAAGAAAATCTAATGTACATATTGAACAATCTGATCATACATTTATTAATCAAGAGAGTTTGAAAGAAATTTAGAAGACGTCTTCAAGAAACCCCTGACATTAAATGTGGAGTAAGGATTTCTAGTTCAGATTTAGTGAAGAAATAATTTGTTAAGGAGGCTTGAAGTTTTTTATAGTTATATCTTTAGTAAACCTATGAACACAAATCTGACAATGAGCTTAAAACACCTTTCAATTTGTAAGCAGTGAATCTTAGGGTTTTCGAAAATTATATGTTTAGGAGAGGAATTTTTTTCAGTTTTTTGAGCTTGTTTTACATTGCAATTTGAATTGAATCTGAAGTCATTTTTAACGCATATCCTACTATTATCGACCGTATAGCTAGATTACTCCTCCATGTATGTTTCCATGTACACATGTAAACCGATAAATACTATGGGGATGTGGAAATGTGTTTGCTAGAGTTTATGTGGAATCGGTGTAGTTCTTTACCTCGACAACTATTTTCCAAAATTTGTTTCAGATTTGACTTCTCTCCAAACTTTAACATGATATAGACACTACTTTATGACGGAATAGATTGACGGTTCATATGTTACTTGAATTTTACGTAGGTTTCATTGAGTATCTGTTCAATATTTCATTCAGCAATGTAAAATATCATATTGGATCTGGATTGCAGAAGCCATTAATTTAATGGAACGGTTATATTACTAAGCCAATTTTACGTTTTAGTGGGTATAAATTTTGAAAGCTCATATATTATCTTATCTAAGTTATCTTCCGACAAAGTAATCGTTTGTCAAGTCACCCATTCTTCTTACTGAGAGCTATATTTATAGCTAGCAGATGATTACCATTTCTTTATTTAAAGGTTGACATGATACCATTCTGTAGATTCATTAAGTTTATTTTAACGCCGAACCAAATCAAAACGTGTATCATATATTATTCACATGTCATCCATACCTCTTCTATTCAGAGAAATTTTACTGGTGAGTTGACTGGTTACATTTTCAATAATGTGGCTATTAAAAATTGATTAACAACAGTCCTGAGAGATTATCTATAGAGATGCTGTTAATTTGTCTAGATTGTTTCCTTTTCAACGTAAAATGAAACTTGTGTGTAAAAATTACTATCTTGAATGTTGAAAGCGTAAGGGAAAGATGAAAATTACGTTATATATATGATGTTATGTGTCTAAATTTACATAGGCTAAAGAACGTTTGTACTGGAGGAATACATAGACTCAATATCAACTTCATCTATATAGCTAATGAGGGTAAGTGTGTTTTTTGAATGAAAACTCGGGAAACTTATTTGGAACTCAACTAAATATATTTTTGAATAAATATTGTAGCAGAATAACATGAATTCATTTATTTCTTGGATTCTCCTCAGTTGTTTACAACCTAAAATCATAGTATTTATCATTAAGACGTCTAGGATAAACTGAGTTAAAATATGTACGTTTCTGATATAAAGTATGCATACTTTTTTCACCTTCTTGATGAATACTATGGTTTTAGGTTGTAAGCAGCTAAGAAAAATTCACGAAATAAATGAATTCATATTACTCTGCTACATATGTTCTTTCTTCATTCAAATTTACAAATATGTTTTGCCTACTTGTAAGTAGTATAAATAGTAGTCACTGATATGATATTGTCAGCTATGTTGGGTTTTTTGAGTGGATGGGATTCGGAAGGTTCTTCGTTAATATAATTTTACAGGTTTCTCTAAGTCATAAGTAGGGTTCACAACTTTATCGTGGTCCATTTATATGACTCCAATTCTATCGTGTGATGACATTAAAGAAATATACATCCTCCCTACTCTCGTGTGTAATTGTTGACTTAATTCGAATGGGTGAATAACAGAATAAGCCAAATATGAGGATTGATTTTAGATACATATATTTCATACATGTATGGATCCAGGAATATAATCAGAAAAGCGAATCGAATGCAAGTGAACCAACTCATTTTGTCAAGGCGTGACTCAATATTTGTAGTCAGACAAAAACAAGCTAAGGACATGTGATAAATAGGGTAGGCGATAGACACACACACACATAAAAACAGTCAAGGTTAATAAGCGAGTAATTGATAAGGTCAAAATGAGACTCAAGATAAATAAATAGGACGAAACGGCCGTCCAGTGTTTCCAGGTTTTCCATGGTGGTCTAGCTTCAATTGACTCATGCTTTAAAAATATGAAAAATACTAAATCTCCACAAAACCCCCTCTGATAATTAATAAATAAATTTGTCTGTCCGGTAGCTAGAATAACACATGCGGGCTTGATATAGTACGAGATACTACAGTTCTTAGACATCCTGTCTGCGTCTTAGTAAAACTGAATACATCTTATCTGTGAATTCCACAGTTTCAACCACCCATTAAATAAAATGATGAGTTTACAAATATACATATGCAGATCTGAATGTCTGGATCTGTGCGTGCATGTGGAACCTTACGTCAGGAGTGAAATCACTTGACTTCCAGTCATCGAAGGACAGGTTCAAATACTGTACCTAACCAGTTGTATGCCCTGATGGTGTTCTCGTGACTTTCGGGTTGCCTGATCTGCCAAGGGCGATGGGACAGTGTATGATGGTATTGTTGTGTGCTAGGTTCAAAGAGAATTGTTTGCTATATGCATGCGATTCCGCCTCGTTATTGTTCCTAGTGCCCCCAAATGCCCTGATACGGCCGAGAGTGGGGAGGGGCCACTCTCTCTCTCTCGAAATGCTTTCACATGGCCACGGGTATATAGCCGCTGCTAGGAAATTCCCACTCACTGCCTTCTCACAATGGAGATATTGTTTACGAAATTGAGAGGACGAAAAGCAAATGTCCGACGCTTTAATCGGGCTGGTGGATACTGAAGGTCCACCCAGGGGAGTTGGAAAACCATGATTCCAAATCAATAGTGCACATGAGCCACACGATTGTGAAGCAACAAATGAAGCATGAACCTATTGTTGGTCACTGGCTACCATGGGACTGCATCTCGTAACGTTGCTCCACTGTCTTGTGGATTAAACCTTTTAGTCAAAGGCTCGGGGAGTAGCTCCCTAAGAAAACCTGGGCACCTGGGCAGCATTATAGCCCTCACATAATTAAAACGAAATGACAATTTTTTGTGTGGCACATACATATCTGGTGCTCCCTTGTATCAATATTTATGTGTTCAAATAAATAAATGCTCCACTTGATTCAGCTTGGACAGTTGATTAGTGCATCTACTTTACATTATGGTCTTAGCTTAATGCTAACCTCTGTTTGATTACTCAGTGAAATAGTCGTCAGTCATTGAGTGAGTTTTGTAAACGTGACAATGAAATAGTGATTAGAAATCCACCAAAACTAAATGAATATCGGGGATGTCATGAAATGAGAGTAAACTTCTACTAACCCCAAAACACTACAAGATTTAGTCATTACTATTAATGCTTTTTTCACTGAATTTTGTTGTGCTAATCATCAGAAACTGTCCACTTAAATCAAAAATTTCTCGTTGTCCATTGTATGGCGGGAAAAAGTGCAAGTAGATCGGCATTTATGCGTCTAAAAGTATGTAGAGAAGTTCTAAAATAACATATCTAGGATATATATTATGCGACAGATAAAATTATAAAAGTGAAACTAACTGAAAACCTTCCTAATATAAGATAAAGAACTGTTAAGCACCGTTGTAGGAGCAACTTATATAAACATATGCATTCAAATAAAAATACAGATTCAGAGGGGATAATTGAAATATTTTATACACAGAATCCTTTACTTTGCCAAGTATACGTTATTGAATAAAGCAATTGTTAGTATCTAAAATGAGCCTATTAAGTGTAGTTGAGATTCCAAATCTTGACCTAAAAAAAGTAAATAAATACTCCGTAAATGTAAACTTCCACTAAAGGAAGTGAAGTGTGCAATTTGAATAAATGTCAATTGATAATGATCTAGTAAAACAAAACAAGTAAAAGGCACTTATTTCTTTGCTTTACTAGTCTTTAGTTAGAAATATGTTTATCCTTAGAATATAAATATCATAAACAGAAAAGCGTCAACTATTAAGATTTTGGAAATGACAGTTATTCTTTCTAATGTTTGTTGTGATGTCATATAAGAGACGTTGTAATCCAGTGAAGAGAATATAGTTTAACATAATATCGACAGTTATTATAGAGTTATTGAAATAAAACAAAGTATATCATTGTAAAATGTTATAATTTAAAAAGACAAAAGAAAAAACAATATGGAAAATATTTAGTTACATACATGTATGATAGATTTCTGAATCAATACAAAAGACTCCGCATATTCTCCTCATGTTTTATACTAGAATTTTGATATGAAAGCTCAAGAGTGTAGATTAGATATGCTGAAATAGCATGGAATCGAAACAATGGTTACATCGCAGTAGATCCTTCACTTATCAATGATGACAGGGTTTTGCTTAGAAGATAATGAATTTTGATCAGTTAATGATGCTACCTCATCTGTTACTAATTTAAGAGCAGCAAGTTCAGATTCTAAATCATCAAAGCTCGGTTGTGTTTTTCCCGGAGGTGATGGTTTCTTTGGTCCAACAAGGAAATTGTCAAGCTCTTGTTCCAAATCGCTCGTATCTTCCAATCCAAAAGAGGTACGTCCAAAACTGGAAACGACATCTGAGATCTGGAAGAAATGAGACATTTTAAAGAAGATAATGATGTTCATCACAAATTCGGAACTTTTCTGTTTAGGAGATAGTAAACAGAGGCTTAATGGTTCAAGTGTACAAACATTTACACAGATAAAAAAGAAAATAAAGCATACATACTTAATGGTTGGATATTCTTTAACTTTTAGGCACATAGAAAGCAACACTATGTTAAACAAGATATCCTCTATGCAAATGAGTGGTGCCTTTTATGAGGTTCTTTTAACCAGTCTGTTTATAGACTGTGCAAGATGAATAATGAACGTGAAAAATGTTCAGAACGGGAGAACGGTTCGTAACTATAGGGCACAAAGGCAGTTTACTATTCCAGACAAAGTTTACACAGTTGTTATTACTTTACGGTTATACTATTGAGTAATAATTATATATGAAGCCAATGTATGAACAGAATATATGAATTTAAAACAATTAGATTATTTAAATCATTAGATGACTTACATGAATGTTATTTTTACTAAACACTTCGAAAAAGTTATGTTTGTATGCCGAAATCTTTCAACGACTACTTATACAACAAAAAATGATGATCTCAAAACTGATAAAATCTATTGTGAGAGAAGCTGGGACCAGTGGAGTTCAACTGTGTCGAGTGTTAGGCAGTTAGCCACTGAAGACAATGGAAGATGGTTGCACAATGTCGTCGACGGATTGAGGTTAGACATTAGCATCGTTGGATACCAACTTGGTGGTCTGAAGGTTAAGCATTTTCTCACGAAATGCAAGGTCCTGGTTTCGGGTCTAGAGTGCGGGGTCGTGAATGCACACACGCCTCTCCAGTGCCTTCAGGTTTCCGATGGTAGTCTAATATTGATCGGTTCATGATTTAAATGAAACTCAACAATCCTCACAACCCTGTGAGGTTTAATTTTTAATGGATATTTGATTAAGATAATCAACAGTTAAGACTGACCATATTAAATCAGCTCACGTAGATAATGAGACTCAACGTCAAGAATGGAGTCTTATACTGTGCAAAATGATTACATTTATCACATAAAACAATCGTACTGAGCGCAGGTACTGAATTAAAAAGGTCCTTATGTTGGAGACATGTTTAAATATTCAGGGGATTAAAGTATCATTTCAAGCAAGTTTTAATTTTAAGCTACAAGGAAGGAACCTAATACAAAAACTATCATAAAGGTAACTACTAAGGGATAACTGAAAAAAAAATTCACATTTGAATTCCTAGATTGGAACTTTCTCAACTTCATCCAAGTACTTTATACCAGTGAAATAGCATTATGACATTTTACGGTGAATTAATGGCTAAATCGCTCAAATACCAAACATTGAATAGCAAGTTTGAAACTGATTCTGGTTATTATGCTGAGTGAATGTCACTAATCTCCATAGAAATAGTGGTTTAAAGGCAACGATAACAAGTCTTTACTTAGTTACTGAGCTGCATCAAAATATTAAGTTGAAAATTTTTTCAGATGTTCAATGTGAGACAAACAAAAAATATAAGCGGTGAAAACCATAACAAAATAATGAATAAGCTTTCTTGATGCAAATAATTATTCACCGACGATATTTACCTCTTGACTTTCTTGAATTCTATCCATTACGTCATTCATTACACCTTCTGCTTTACTTAAAGCATTAGATCCTCCAACAGCTTGTCTGAGAGCTTCATTAACACTATTTAGAACGAGTACAATATTCCTGTTTTCTGTTGCAGATTCTATATCAATCAACATTGTCTCCAGATTATTAAGTTGTAATTGCTTTTGTTCTAGAGATTTTTCTAACACCTTCGTACGACGTAATAGAGATTTAGCTTCTGAATTCCTGTTACCAAGAGACAACGTAAGGTCAAAAACATATTCGCAAATGCAAAGGACTATTTAAACAATTAAAAAATGTCGTCTAATAGCTATAATTCTAATAAGTTAGCAATGAGTATGTGGTTGACTAATAACATATAACTTGGTATGCATGTACATCGGTTCAAGTTGTCATAACCCACTAGCACACCGAGATGAAATGGTCAGGCCGAATCCCAGAATAGTAGAGATAGTAACTGTATGAGTGGTATTCAAGGTTAGGCATCGAAGGTATGATTCGAGAAAATATAAATTAGTGAAACAAGAACCTATGAACATGGCTCAGTTCAATCGTCACTGACGTCATGGACTTCGCCTTCGGGCCTTAACTTGTTGCTCTTACTATTGCTACTTTCCAACAGACTTACCTGGAACGGTAGGAACGCGTGTTCCAGCCAATACAACTCGGTTGAGTCATCACGATAAGCAAGCCCTACCACCATGTCAAGACAGAAGCTACGGTCAGGGATAAGTCAGTGAAGACGTACTTACCTTTTATCTGACAATAAGGACTTGATATGGTTTCGACGCTGTTCTATAACGGTTTCCAATCTTTTCTCTTCATTTTCAAGTTGTTTAATAGTAGATTTGAGTTGAACAATTCCACTCAGTGCAGAAGATTCTATTTTTGCAGCGTCTGAATTAGTTGGTTTGTTCGGCCGGCTATTAATATCTTCACCAACGCGAATAATCTATTAAAATAAAGATATTACATTAGATATTCAAATACAAATAAATAGCTTAATTCTTATTTTACTACGTAGCACACTAATACTACCATACCATAAAAACATGAAACTGCTATCTATAAATGAATTACAAATGCCACGCTAGAGGATTCCGTACAACACATTATTTGCCAACTCTGAGACAATGAAAAAAGAGCGTAAATGATCATGTTGTATAATGGAAAAAAATGTGTTGGTCTAGAATATAGTAGTAAATCAAAATACCATGGAGGAGGTCTTAAAAATCATAAAACTCAGTCACAACCCTGTCATAGTTATCTGTTGTATTCTTCACAAAAGCTAGATGAATCTTTCAACTGAGTGAAATATGTCTTGGTTATTCTTCTTAATTTTCTGATTGGAAAATATTTTAAAGAACAAAGACATTTCAAGCCATTCGGAAATACTGGAATTCTTTGTTACAAACGTAAATTGTCATTAAAGAGATATATGATAAAAATTTATGATGCCTACAACGATCAGTCGCCATTTATTGTCCATTTCTTATTATGAAAACGTATGGTAAAATATCTACATTACTGATGATCAACTACTAGATTTTAGTTCTGAATGATGATACAAAAATATTGTTTAAGCCAGTTGAACAAAGTATTAAGCCAAAACCTAATCCTATAAACTGACGAAGTTTTGAGGATACGTTAGTAGAGAGTAGTAAAATGACAATCAGTCTCATGAGTTGTACAATAATATTCAATTATACGAAGTAATCTCTTGGTTTATGGAAAAGTGTATGCTTGTAGACTTACAATGTTTGATTACTGTTCATATACTCATTTATAACTTTTGGACAGCTTGTTTATTGGAACACTTTGTACATAAGTTTGCTAAAAATTGCCTGATCATAATATAATATTCAAAATAGTGTAAGTTACTACATAACTTCGACAATCAGTAATCCATTGTTAAATGGGTGTTAAACATACCTGAATCGGTTGGGAATCTGAAGTAGATGTGGTTTCCACAGAAACGCAGTGTTTGATATTACTCAATAAATAAAATATGTATTCACGAGTGGCCGCATGGGAATAAAAGTTTGACAAGGCTGAGTTGAAAAGCTCTATATCATACACAGCTGAATGTGGTAATAACCTCTGGTCACGGTAATTGTCATGAAACCAAGACAAAAATTCCATAGCGGAATTTTCAGCGAACTGACTGAACACAAACTGCTGATCCGATGTATCAGTCTCCAATGGATTAGATGATGGCTGACTGAAATATAAGAATATTCAAAGGATAAAACGATAATTTGAAGTTAATTCAACGCTAGAGTAGTAGAAATGTCGAACAATCATCTGAGAGTGGGCACTAGATATTTTATAACTAGCAAGTAAGATAAAACCTTGGAAGCAACAGTACCATGAAGCGTCTCAAATGGTACGAGCACGACTACCCCTTTTCACATCGAATACCAGTTATACTTCATACTGAGTATCTACGATCTAAAGCTTAGGAGTGTTTTTGACGTTAACTTTAATTGGTATGGATTCATATGCTTGATTCATTTCGTGGTAATTAAAAGATGAAAAATCGTTGGGGTAATGAATTCGTACAAGTTATGGATGGTTTATATGCCTTAGACTTTAGTTTGCAAACAAATCACATTGAATATTTTAATTTATTGATACCTTAAAACCTGTTTGTACTGAAATCTCATGTATATTAAGCAAATTAATTACGTTTACGCTAGCGTAGTCAAGTAAATCAGTTCTTTATATGACTTGAAGCGGTACAGGGTTGAGGTTGAACCAGGGAAACTACCTTAAATTGGTTTGGATTAAAGTATTTTAGAGACGTTTATGAGTCATTCACATGTAATCAAAGTACATTCATGAAATAAAAAACCCACTGATCATGATACTACACTGTAGATAGTGATGAATAAGCGCACACTAAAAATACAAAACATTTAAATTTGTATCTTTCTTAATCGCTTGATATTTGTTATTTCGAACCATGTATATTTCTATACTATTTGATGAAAACAGAATACGACGTACTTTTACAAATGCCATTAAAATGTTACTTCAAAATTCCATGAACATCAGATAGTTTTTAGATGATTCAATATGAAGTAGAACTGAGTAAAACCGTGTTTTTTGCAATTAGTTTTATTTACTGAAAGACTTAAATATAACTAATGAACCAAATAATCCCCTCTACTGCTACAGAACTTGAAAACATAAGGACACACGCCGTTGTCTCCGCCTACACTCCCACTGATTGCAGCTCGGACGAAGTTAAAGATGACGTTTTTAGGAAGCTATCTAACTTCTTCCAAAAAGCTACTCTCTGATGTAATAGTAGTGGCGGGTGATTTTAATGCTCAAGTACGTGAACTAAACCAAACCGAAAGGCAGTCAGGCAGATCTTACAGTGTTGTGGCCCAGCGAACAGATAATGATGTTCTTCTGTTGCAGCTATGCTCAGATAACTGTGGTTAACACAAACTTTAAACATAAGGAGAAACATCGTCTGAAGTAACGACCCATCGATGGACTCAAATAGATCATACTACCTTCAGCCATCGTTAGAGAGGCTCGATAAAATGCTGTCATTTATCCTTGAGTACATGTTTAGACTCGGATCATGCTCTAGTTCGAGGACATATTTGTCTGAACCTTACTGTACGTAAAAAAGCCACAGCAAGAAAACCTCTTAGAGTTCAGCCTAATGATGAACAAGTTAAGAATATATTTCAGGAACAACCAGAGGAGTTAGTTAACCGTAAAAGTGATGTCCACCCAGAGGTAGCTTGATATGATATCCAAAAACCTGTGGAAACAGTGATGATATCTAATAGTAATTTAAACCAAAGGGTTAGGAAAAATCAGTGGATTTCGGCGGCTTCTACAGCACTGATAAATGCTCAGGAACTCATCCTTCCTGGCTCGGAACACGATGGGGAGCGTAGGAAGCTTAAAAGTAGGCTGACAAAAAGCCTACGTAATGATCGTGGGTAATGGTGGTTAGGGAAAGCAGAAGTGATGGGTAGATAACTTTTCGAAAGTATCAAGGAAAGGGGTAGTAAAAACCTGTCTCTTAGTGAAAATGACGGGCTATTATTCACTCTAGATCCAGGAGATTGGACCGATGAGCAGAACACTTTAGGGAAAAGTCCAATTCTCCTTCAACTACACTTTAGTCACCCACTATCTCCAAACAACCTAAATGGGAAATCGATGTAAATCCTACAACTATTAGTGAGATTGAAAAGGCTATAGGTAATCTAAAGCGAGGGAGAGGAGTGGGGCCTGATGAACTAGTCCCCAAAATTTTCTAAGGATGGTGGTCCAGTTTTAGCGATAGATTGACTGACATCTTGGCTAAAATATGAGAACTGGACGTAATCCAATCTGACTGGTCTCGATATCTAGTCCTAGTTTGTAGCTAACTGACTGATAAGAAAGGACAAAACTCCTTTTGTGATAATCACAGAGTAATCAGTCTAACTGATATAGTATCAAAAATACTAGTCTCACTAATACTTCAACGTCTAACTAGAGCCCATGGAGAGCAAACCCGAGAAAACCAGACTGGTTTTAAACCTATTATTTTATTATTATTTGAACACATAAATATTGATACAAAGGGGCAACGAATACATATGCGCCACACATGTCACTTGGTTTGTTTGTGGGCTGAGATACTGCCCAGGTGTCCAGACCGAAGCAGGTGGTTTTCTTAGGGAGCTACTCCCCGAGCCTTTGACTAAAAGGTTTAATCCACAAGACAGTGGAGCAACGTTACGAGATGCAGTCCCATGGTAGCCAGTGACCAACAATAGGTTCATACTTTATTTGTTACTTCACAATCGTGTGGCCCATGTGCACTATTGGTTTGGAATCATGGTTTTCCAACTCCCCTGGGTAAACCCTCCGTATCCACAAGCCCGGTTAAAGAGTCGGACATTTGCTTTTCGTCCTCTCAATTTCGTAAACAATATCTCAATCGCGAGAAGGCAGTGAGTGGGAATTTCCTGGCAGTGGCTGTATACACGTGGCCATGTGAGAGCATTTCGAGAGATAGGGTGGCCCCTCCCCACCAGGGCATTTGGGGGCTAAAGGCGGATGTATCGACCAAATATCCACCCTTCAGGAGATTCTGGTACACAGACTTACTTTTAGACGTCCTACTATTGTTGTATTCCTTGAACTTAAAGTGGCGTTCGACTCTGTTGGTCTTGAGGTTCTAAGGCAGTATCTGTCATTGGAAGGTCCAGTGCTTCCAGGTTTTCCATGATGGTCTAGCTTCAATTGACTCATGATCTCAACTATTAAAAATATTATAATATCCACAAAAAACCCCTTATGATATTGAAAGGTCTACCAAGTTCGTTACTCGAACTCTACTGGTCGAACCAGAGCTTACGGAGAACTGTCATCGGAATTGGTTACTTCAAGTGGTGTTCGTCAGGGTTGCTTGCTTTCCTCATTTTCATTTAACTTTTTCATAGACATGCTTTTAGATGTAACACTTTTATCGTCTGACTCTTCAGGGATCGATCTTCTACCAGGGGATTCACTTGTTGACTTAGAATACGTAGATGATATAGTTCTGTTTGGTGAAAACGCTGACAAAATCGAGTCTTTTGACCACCTACTTTAGCAATAATGCAAACATGTTCGGGATGCAGTTCTCTCCCTTGAAAAACGTCGTTTCAGGACTGGATTGCGTTATCGACTGAATTAGTGATAGGGAGTGAAGTAGTTGAATAAATTGATCACTTCATTTATCTTGGGAGTCTCATCAATATTGATGGTCTAGTGTCTGACGAAATCTCGTCACGGATTCAGAAGGTCGATTGGCTTTTGCCAACTTGCATCACATGTGGTGTAGGCGAGATATCTGTCTTCTAACCAAAAAAGGGAGTTTACTGAGCAGCAGTTTTCTCCGTTTTACGTTAGAGGTGTGAAACATAGCTATGAATAGAGAATATTCGTAGGTTACTGGTATCCGATCATAGGTGTCTACGAGGCATCGTTCGCGTCTTTTGGAAACACGGAGTAAAGAACAGAGTACTAGGTAAAGATGGGAAACCTACCGATGTAATAAGTTTTCACCAACTGAGGTGATTAGGACATGTGTTACACATGTTCAACCACAGCCCACCTTGACGGGCAGGAGTAGGCTGAAAACTGGAGGCGGTCAAATCAAAGCACGGAATCAATCCATGAAGTCACTGACAGTTGGACTAAGCCATATTTATAGGTGTAGACTGCCTAATTGGAGTCCGCATGACTATCGTAACTAGTGATTAGAAATTGTGGATGACATAGCTCAAACTCGTTTGCAACGGCACACATGTGTCCATTCCTTATCTTTCCTCAAATTCTGAGGTTCTAAATTCCTCATACCCCTTTTTGTTCTTATTTTACTAATTTATATTTTTCAGAATCGTATCTTCAATGCCTAACCTTGATTACCACTCATATAGTTACTACCTCTACTATTCTGGGGTTTGGTCTGACGATTTCGTCTCGGTGTGCTAGTGGGTTATGACAACTTGAACCGATGTACATGCATACCAAGTTATATGTTATTAGTCAACCACATACTCATTGCTAACTTATTAGAATTATAGCTATTAGACGACATTTTTTAATTGTTTAAATAGTCCTTTGCATTTGCGAATATGTTTTTGACCTTACGTTGTCTCAGTAATTTAACTGATATTATTTTTAGCTTATTAGACTCTACTGCGGCGTTTTGATGGAAAATACGATTTATCCAACTTAGTTAATAGCAAAACGAACCACTTACAATTCAAACCGAACAGGTGACGGCCTTTTATTGCCTCACAAACTTTAAACCTAATATATAGACAGATTAGCACAACCTAAGAGTACTACAGTGTCATCAAAGAAGGTTAACTGAAAGATATATACATCATACTTCTAAAAAACCATTGAAAGACAAAGTTAAAAACAAACCAACCCATTTAAGTAGTGATATGCCCATGATATTGGCTTGTGTACAACATACGAGAAGGCCGTAAAAATATTGCCCAAGATACTTCTGTTTGGAATTACTGGTTCTAGTACACCTTCTGACACCAAATCAGAAATAACCTCTCCAAGTGATTGAGGATACAAATCTATGCCTTCAACGGGGAAGTGTCGAGTAAATAGCTTTTGAAGTGATTGTTTACATATTACAAATGCCTTGTGATCTTTTGCATAGGATAGTAATATCCTTTTCCAAAATGTGATCTTAGCATTATAATTGACTGGATCAATAACCTTTGAGCGTCGTATAGGTTGCATAAGCGAATACATAGCATCATCATCATCCCAAATATCTGGCAACCGAAAACCAGCTGATTTACTGTCCGTCATTATCGGTTGACTGACCTTGATAGGAACGGCCTTCAAACGAGACTCGAGTCTTCACTAATAAGAATAGGTCTATTGACTTATATTAATCCTTTCAGTTTGTAACACTGTGGAGGTCCAACCTCATTTTGAATATATCAACAGAAGGTGCTGATATTACGTGTTCTGGTGGAGAATTCCAGTAATTCACAACTCGATTCGAGAAACGAAATTCCATACGTAAACAATTCGATCTAGGTTTTTGAACTTCCTTTGAATGTCATCTCAGATGCCCAATCCTAGACAGAAGGAAAAGATAAGACATATTAATACCTAAGTCATCATTCAGTATATGATAAACCAATATTAGATCACCCCGTATTTTACGGTAAGATAACGGAAATAAGTTTAGATGTCTCAGTCTGTCTCCATATTATAGGCCAGACAGACCTTTTACCATTTTAGTCTCTCGTCGTTGAACTCGTTTTAGTATATCAGCCTCATGCTTGAATCCCATATTCCAAATGCGGTCTCACGAGAGTCGGGTATAATAATTTAAAAATTTCTTTGTCCAAATACTGGGAAGACCCGCAAATAGCCCGTAATATTCTACACTCTTTTGAAGCAACAGCCTTACAGTTACTCGTAGTTTTGAGACCGCTGCTTATTATGACTGATGAGTCTTGAGAGTCCATCACTTTGAGTAACACGAATCCACATATTGTGTAGTCATATGAATCGTCGCAATTACTTATTTGGATTATCGCTCTCTCGTTAGAGTTAACCTTCAAATACTGATCCCCCATCCATTCAGCCAGTGAATTTGGGTCATCCTGTGATATTATTTTGTGTGAAATGCTATGTATTGGTCTCCAACTATTTGTTTCACATACGAAAAGTAGAAGAGATGACTTTGCTGCAGTTAGTAAGTCATTTAAATGCGGTTAAAAAGATTTTACCTTGATTAACTCCGTTTTTTAAGATCCTCACTTTGATAGAACCTCACTTACCCCTACACATTTTAACCTGCCATCGGGAAAGTCACCTATTCAGGTTATGGTTTCATATTGGACCCCTAAATTCTCCAGTTATCATTTCAGACCCAGATGAGAGATCTTGTCGAACGCTTTACTTTCATTTAAGAATATTATATCTACTGGAATCCTTCTATATCTATCTGAACACCAATCTTCTCTTGCAGTGAGCAGATTTATCAAGCAGGATAAGCCTTTCCTAAGACTATGTTGTTCCCTGTATAAAAGAGTTCTCTATTCCACAAAGTATGAGACAGTCATCCGAATAATCTCTCCTTTAGTTAGAACTTTGCGTTCGTCACGCATAGGTGTAACCAGAACCTTTGTCGTTGCTCCAGTAGCTAGGCTTTCCTAATTTTCCATTTATGTAGAGTAGTTTGTTGCAGACTACATCCATTTATGAAGCTAAATATATTCTGTGTGTTTACTAGATCATTGCCTTCCCTTTCATTTGGTTCCCTTCCACTTAAATGTGATGAAGGGAGTAGGACACACTCAGTACTCATAAGGTAATGTTGAATTTATTGCTCGATTCATGCTTGATGTTTTAGAACAACATATTCATATTTGAAATATATATCAACAGTCGCTTTCTAGCTTTGGACTTCCAGAAGTCCTTTTAAAGGGTTTACTCATACAATTGAGACGAAGCGTTTTTACCAACGTCGATCTCATTACATCAAAGAATCTTGTTTGAAGTTCTAACCCAACTAATGCTCGAGGGCCTCATACAGAGTATCGCGCTTTTTCCATGCGTTATGTGGAGAATATATCAACAAACCACATTCTTATTTTCTTTGATTTCGGGAGACGAATTTAGTGAATAACTCCGCCTGTAGCTCTTCTAGAGTTACTGCCGGTCCCAAGCCCGGGTAAGGAAGGAGGGTTGGGCATGGGGTTAGCGACCCCATCCCGTAGAAAAGCTAACTCGCTAAAAAAACGCTAACCAGAAAAAATAATTCAAACCATTTAAACTCTGCCCTGGGAGTTGAAGGAATAATTATGACGTCTCATGATGAAAGCCGAAATTCTTCGGAAGTCACGAGACCGATGCACCTTCTAACAACCAGAGCAACACTCTTTATAGGTACATGGAACGTCCGGACGATGTGGGAGACAGGAAAGACCAGCCAAATAGCAATGAAAATGAGAAGATACAACTTGGCAGTACTCGGAATCAGCGAAACCGATTGGATACAAACTGGACAACAAAGGCTAGGTACAGGAGAGATGCTGCTGTACTCCGGTCACGAAGGGGAAAATGCTCCACACACTCAGGGAGTTGTTCTAATACTGTCCAAAGAAGCACGAAATGCACTTGTGGGATGGGAATCTCATGGATCCAGGATAATCAAAGCATCATTCAGAACAAAGAAGCAAGGGATCAAAATGAACATTATCCAATGTTATGCACCCACTAATGATAGCAACGACGATGATAAAGATCAGTTCTATGAAAGGCTGCAATCAATTATAGAGAAGTGTTCACGAAAGGACTACACAATCCTGATGGGAGATCTAAATGCTAAAGTTGGGGTGGACAACACAGGATATGAAGATGTAATTGGACGACATGGATTAGGAGAGAGAGATGAAAATGGGGAGAGACTTGCAAACCTATGTGCATTCAACAAATTGGTTATAGGCGACACAATATTCCCACACAAGCGCATACACAAAGCTACATGGATCTCACCGGACCACACCACAGAGAACCAGATTGATCACATCTGTATCAACAAAAAATTCCGAAGATCAATGGAAGATGTGAGAGCCCGGAGAGGAGCTGACATAGCTTTAGATCACCACCTGGTTGTGACCACGATGAAACTGAAGCTAAAGAAAGACTGGACAACTGGACAAACAGCACTACAAAGGTTTAATACAGCCTTCCTTCGAGATGCTGACAAGCTCCATGAATTCAAGATAACTCTCAACAACAGGTTCCAAGCTCTACAGGATCTACTGAAAGAACAAGAAACTACTTTGGAGGACAACTGGAAAGGGATAAAAGAAGCACTAACTTCAACGTGTCAGCAGGTTCTTGGTCCTAAGAAGCATCATCACAAGGAATGGATCTCTATGGGAACCCTGGACAAAATTCAAGAAAGGAAGAACAAGAAACTAGCAATTAACAACAGCCAAACACGAGCAGAGAAAGTCAAAGCACAAGCAGACTACGCAGAAGCAAACAGAGAAGTGAAGAAAAGCATTAAAGCCGACAAGCAGAAATACATGGGAGAACTAGCAACGGCGGCGGAAAACGCTGCAAGAGAAGGGAATATGAAACAACTATATGACACAACGAAAAAATTGGCAGGGAGATATAGCAAACCAGAGAGACCAGTCAAAGACAAAGAAGGAAAGACAATCACTGAGATTCAAGAACAGAGGAAAAGATGGGCAGAATACTTTGAGGAACTGCTGAATAGACCAGCCCCATTGAACCCACCGAACATCGAAGCAGCCCACACTGACCTTCCAATAGATGTCACTCCACCAACGATCGAAGAAGTCAAGATGGCCATCAGACAAATCAAATGTGGGAAGGCGGCAGGACCTGACAATATACCAGCAGAAGCACTGAGGTCAGACATTGAAATAACTGCAAATATGCTTCACCTTCTATTCAAGAAGATTTGGGAAGAGGAACAAGTGCCAACGGACTGGAAAGAAGGATATCTCATCAAGATACCAAAGAAAGGAGATCTGAGCAAATGTGAGAACTACAGAGGCATCAGTTTGTTATCAGTACCAGGAAAAGTTTTCAACAGATTGCTGCTGAATCGGATGAAAGACGCAGTAGACGCCGAACTTAGGGATCATCAGGCTGGATTCCGTAAGGATCGGTCGTGCACAGACCAGATTGCGACACTACGGATCATCGTTGAACAATCAGTTGAGTGGAACTCATCACTATACGTCAACTTCATTGACTATGAGAAGGAGTTTGACAGCGTGGACAGGAGAACATTATGGAAACTTCTTCGACACTATGGAGTTCCCGAGAAGATTGTCAACATTATCCAAAACTCATACGATGGACTACAGTGCAAAGTGGTGCATGGAGGACAGCTGACAGATGCATTTCCAGCAAGGACCGGAGTCAGACAAGGCTGTCTACTCTCCCCATTCCTCTTCCTTCTAGTGATTGACTGGATTATGAAGAATTCGACATCTGAAGGGAAATGGACAATGGACAGCTCAGAATCAATTAGATGATTTGGACTTCGCAGATGACCTAGCCCTCCTCTCTCATACACACGACCAAATGCAGATGAAGACAGCAAATGTAGCAGCAGCCTCCGCATCGATAGGCCTCCACATTCACAAAGGAAAAAGCAAGATTCTCAAATGCAACACGGAGAACACCAACCTAATCACACTTGATGGCGAAACTCTGGAAGAGGTGGAAACATTCACGTACCTGGGGAGCATCGTTGATAAACAAGGGGGATCGGATGCAGATGTAAAGGCGAGGATTGGCAAAGCAAGGGCAGCATTTCTACAATTGAAGAACATATGGAACTCAAAACAACTCTCAACCAATTTCAAGGTCAGAATCTTTAATACGAACGTCAAGACAGTCCTACTGTATGGAGCTGAAACATGGAGAACTACTACGACCATCATCAGGAGGGTACAAGTATTTATAAACAATTGTCTACGCAAAATACTCAACATCCACTGGCCGGATACTATCAGCAACAGCGTTTTATGGGAGAGGACAAATCAGCTTCCAGCTGAAGAGGAAATTAGGAAAAGACGTTGGAAGTGGATCGGACATACATTAAGGAAATCACCAATGTGCATCACGACTCAATCCCTAACTTGGAATCCTGAAGGGAAGCGGAAGAGAGGAAGGCCAAAGAACACACTACGCCGGGAAATAGAAGCCGATATGAAAAGGATGAATAGCAACTGGAAAGAACTGGAAAGGAAGGCTCAGGACAGAGTTGGATGGAGAATGCTGGTGAGGGGCCTATGCTCCTCCACAAGGGGTAACAGGCGTAAGTAAGTAAGTAGTAAGCGCATAATGCTTCTAGGCTGGTGGGACTTGAAAGCACCGTCAGAAACTATCTATAAAAATAGTTATATTCACATGTTTAAGTTGAGAAGAAAGTTTGCCTAGATATTTGTGACATCGTTTTAACATTTTGCGAAGTGCTGAAGCTCATCAGCCCATTTAAGAGGAACTGTGCTCTATACTGGTTTATCTCAAAATAAATGAGATTAGGTAAACACAGACCAAGAAACCATTGATTTAATGATGATAAGTGGAAAGACTACTTCTGTCATCAGTGCTGATATTCGAATTTTTGCTAAAGTGAGGCTATTGATACGGGACTTCGTGATGTTCAGTAGACAGTCAGTTTGAGGAACGCAGTTTTTGCGTTTATCTTAGGTGTTTATGAACATGACAGGATAAGTTTGGGAACTGAGGTTTGGATCTTATTCTTCTGTCAGCTACTCAAACATCATTCCTTTTAGAAGACCAAATACCCGTATTTCAGACTTAATGTTTCTCTACAGTTTTAATTCTCAGCTATTTGTAAAACCAGTGGACTAGGATCTTCTGTGCTCTGCCCCGGATATCGAGTCACTCCAATTTGCGCTTGCTGCATTGGCATTCGACCAGCTAGCTTTAGGATGGTGACCGGAGGAATTATCTATGTAACTTGCAATTAGAATGAATTCGCGACGCGGTCTGGCGTTGTTTGTTCTTTATATTTTGTAGGTATCAGATTTCCTATTTCCCTATGCTGCGTCATAGGATAGTACGGTTTTATTTATGGACTTTCTCAATTGGTCACCAACCATGATTCTTAATAATTTGAGGGTTCTAGGTGTTAAGACACTGGTTTCTACAAGTTAGCAGTCCTTAAAAATCCTACACTGAAAGGTAAAATGAGGACCAATTCCACCCACTCGGTAGTCGTTGCGATGTACAGCAAGTGGCAAAGCTGGTTGCGTACACATCTTTGAAAAAGATTTATTGTAATACAGCTGTGGGTGTGTCAAGTCATAGGTTAGCTACCCCATCAGTTAGTTGTATTGTACTTCATGTTAGGTGTTAGGGCAGTAGCATGCTCAGTTATCAATGTGACTGGTAAAGTCTCCTAATGACACCCATCTGCAGGCCTCAGGAATCATCAAGCCATTGAGTACTTGGCACTGAGCTTCCCCAAGAACGAAAAATCCACCACTGAAACAATCCTTGTGGAGTACAAGTAAAAAATGTCTCTATTTGGTCCTCAATATTCTAGGTAAGACAGTCATTTGGAGCCTTGATAATGTAGATGCTTCTTAACGCTAGTTCTCATTATTTGATTGCTCAGGTGTGTATTTATCTCTTTTAGTCTTCATCATTTTAGACTTGAGAGTATGTTCATACTGCATTTATGACGGTGTTTTCTCCAGTGAAAACCCTTTGTTGTATCTGGTATGTCTTCGAGTTGGCTTTGATAATAGTTTCATTCATGTGAAAATGGTGTAGGTCAGAAATGTTGTTTGTGGAGCGTTTTTTTGGCTGATAAGAAGGCAAACATTTCTGAGTCATGCAAATGTAATGATGGTCTATTTGATAAGTGAGAAGATGATGGAAAGTACAACATTTATCGATCATTGAAGTCGTTGCTGACACGATAACACATTCGCCCTTGAATAAACACAGCTGTTGCTTTCCGTGTTATTTCGATTTCGTTGACACGGTGATAATCACTAATCGTTTTTGAATTGAGAGATGCTTGACCAAGATCATAATCATATGAAGGGTATTCTTGATCAATACGAAGTGATTATCCCGTTTTTTTTCTAACTCATCATAGGTTGTTGAATGCTTAGGAAAAGGATGTCAAGGAACATCATATAAGTTGAGACGTCGAGATAATTCAGAATATTTTGTATTAAAGATGGTGAGTAAAAATTCCACACTCAGAACCCTGAAAAAAGATAGAATGTAGAAGCTTAGATCATGGATATTTATTGTTTGAAGAGTTTATTCATATTCAAAAGTTCATACATCCATACGTACCAAGAATTTTAGAAATTCATATGTCAATGAACCCAAAAGTAACCTTCCTTTTTATATAACTTATATCAAGAATTCAGCAATTTATGTTTCTGTTATTCGGAGCTATATCGATCTGCCAAGCTTAGACTTGATAATTAAAGACAACATAGAAAAATCTAGGTTGGAGTGGAGTGTAAGAAATACAATTTTACATATCTACCTTAAGAAAAAATAGTTAATATACCGAATGTTCGGGAGTGTACTGACTGTCATAACTTCTCTGAAAAAAGCGAATTGTGGTTCTATGTAACTTGTTCATACGTTAACCCTTTAAAGCTATTTTCATCCTGGTAATATTTTTCTTAGTGACAAAGGATTTTTCATGGCGGATATTTGGGGTCCAAATCTAATGAATTATGCTCGTGGAGTAGATACTTACGTGCAATGTATGTTGAAATTAAGCAACACCATATTCTTTTTAATGAAAATTTACTATTTTCTTCCTAATCAAACAATGAGCATCAAAATGAACCCTATTTTTAAACTTAATGCATTTTTACTTGGACGTGTTTACCACAAATCCAAACACTTGGTTGTCTACGCTCAAAGTGTTCTTGTAAAATATAAGTAGCAGTATTTGAATTTTATTGACTGATGGGTGTCATGTTTATAAGTTTTAAGGTAGTTGATGCTCTTCACATTTATACAGAAATTAACATTTGTTCAGTAGTTTTCCCAGTAACAGCACGTTATATCTGCAAGTGTGTCGTCAGGATAAGTAATGATGACAGGACTTGATACACTGACTGGAAATTTCTAGATTATCTAATGCATCTCCATCTCTCAATTTCGAGCAAACGTTTGGGAGTTTTGTAGTGTTAGTGTGAGCTAGTGATTTCCCTGTACTTGATGACTGTTTGATTTCGAATTCCAAACACGGTATTTTCTTTCGTGCTCATATAGTTCTTCTGGGTTAAATTGCGTTATTTCTGGGATTGCTAGCAAACACTATACTTCAAATCATCAGAGTTTTCACCGAAATTTGAGGAAATATTAGGGAAAACCCAAAATGTTCCCAAAATTTGTGAGGATTTCTTTAAAACTGAGGAAATTTCGGGGGTTTTGTTCAATTTGTCCGAAATTCTCTATTGTGGCTTCCCCAAAATTTTCGCAAAACGGACAACATTTTCCTCAAAATAGAGAGATTAAAGTAATCTGGTAGTTGCGAATGGATCAGGACTGAAGTCAGAGAGGAGGGAGTTAGCACACTTGAAAGTGCTGTTATTCGAATTCAACTTGGGCGAAGGATAATCTTTAAAGTGACCATCAGTCAGACTACAATTTATCTCCATACACTTACTAGGGACAAATGAGGGTTTTATTTTAGTATGGGGAATTAAGATAAAGGTTTATATTTGAACATTAGGTTTAGAAATTAGATTCAATGTTTTCATCACAAACTGATATTAGCTATGATGTCAAAATGGTGGTTAGCCAAATATGTTAATGAATTTTGGGCCAAAATAAAAGATCCGCTATCTTAAACATGATTGGTTCGTTCATAAATTATAGTCTTGTCTAACTGTTATGCATACAAGCATCATAGTCATTCATTCGTTAGCCATAGTTAGTCTATTATTTTGCTGGCTAACGGTCTCCGAATTGCTAAGTACAACTGTCATTGTAAAAGATAAGTTTGGGCTTCGTCCCCGGCGTTTTTTATTTTTATCCTTAGATTTTGTGCTATTCAGCTTCTGTGCATCATTCAGCACGTTGTAGAAAGTAAACTACAATATATCACACGAAGTTCGGTTTGTGTATAACTTTGTGATAATGAAAGATTACGATGTTTGTTCAGACTATTACAATTAGGTTAGTATTATTTTTTAGTTAAGTTCAAACACAACCACAAAAATGAAGTAAAGTATATTTGAACGGTTACGTTGATTATTTCTTATCGTCTGACATTGGGTTGTTGTTTAACATATGAAGAGCATAAATGATACAACGATCACAGTTTATCACCATTATCTTTAACTACACACATCAGTAAATATTAAGGAAATGCTTATTTTTGATAATTAGCGTTAAGTATTTATGTCTAATAACCGTGAAAGGAAGTATTTTGGATTTTTCCCAGTAAGCTGCAGGACTTCGGTTCAAAGCATTATATTACTAAGTAGAGATCTTGGCTTACTTTCGGTGAAGAAACATTTAGGTTAAATGTTATTCACTGGGTACGGAATTAGAACAATAGAATGGTTAAATCGCTGAAAAATTCCCATCATATTAAAACAATTGTATGAACGAAGAATATTCTTTTCAATAATTTCTCATCAGGTTCTACAATTATAAATTAATAATCCATAAAGAAGATTGGCCAAGTTTAAGGCAGAGTACATCAATTTAAGAAACTGTAATATGTGAATCAAGGATTGTTTGTCATATAAAATAAGATCGAATCGTTAATATTTTTGGGATGACTAATATGGAGTGTTAACTTGAATCAGTTTATAAGTGAAATAAAATCGTAAGATAAATTATCAGAATATATATAGTTGACAAGGGGTGAGAGATACAAAAATGGGATTACAAATAATATGTAATATGTAATAATATGTAATATGTAGAATAATATGAATGAGGTCAGACATAGTAAATAGGGGTGGATGCTGAATAAATTTCTCTAAAAGGTTAGCAAGTGTGATAATAATAATAATGACGATGGTAAGATGTGTAGATAAACTAAGTTTAAAATACAAAAATGAACATAAATCAAATTAATGTCACCATATTATAAGATTGATTATTAACAAGTTGGCCAGGGTAAAAGGAGCGACTGTACATATTTCTTTTGGATGCAGAGCTCTGGCTTTTTGATCCGAATAGCAATTGCCTCAGCTGTCTGTCTGACAGAACTAGGTAGACTGCTATTTACACGATATATTACTGTGAAAGATCGCTCAATGTCGGCTCTATGTCCCGTCTGAACTAAATGGGCTAAAACAGAGCTGTTAACCGTTCTGACTACACCTTTGCTGAGGCAATTGCTATTCGGATCAAAAAGCCAGAGCTCTGCATCCAAAAGAAATATGTACAGTCGCTCCTTTTACCTTGGCCAACTTCAGGGTCAACTTGTTAATAATCAATTTTGTAATATGGTGACATTAATTTGATTGATGTTCATTTCTATATCTTAAACTTAGTTTATCTTATCAGTTATTATTATTATTATCACACCTGCTAACCTTTTAGAGAAATTTATTCATCATCCACCCCTATTTACTATATCTGACCTAATTTATATAATTCTACATATTACGTAATTTCCGATTTGTAATCCAATTTTTGTATCTCTCACCCCCATGTCAACTATATATATTCTGCATCTCAGAGCTGATGTTCACTCTGGGACTCGAACCCAGTACCCTCGCTTCAAACGTCATCGCGTTCTCCACTCGGCCACTGAGTCCTGATAGCCACTTGCTTGTGCGATGGGGTGAAGTTTAAATGCAACTTAGTATTGTTTAATTGAATCTTCCCATCGATTTGTTAGGACTACATCTGGTCAGTCTCTAATTGGCATATGTGCATACTGTGCGTATTGCCTCGATATAGCCTTAATTCACAAGCATGGTTAGCAGAGATGGATAGTGGCTAGCAGTGGAATCCAGGACGCGCGTTTCGTCCTATTTGGGACTCGTCAGGTGGATAACGCGATGGCGTTTGATGCGAGGGTACTGGGTTCGAGTTGCAGAGTGAACATCAACTCTGAAATGCAGGTACAGGTGAATTAAGGTATATCGAGGTAATACGCACAGTATGTACATATGCCAATTAGAGACTGACCAGTTGCAGTCCTAACACATTGATGGGAGGATTCAAACAAACAATACTAAGTTGAATTTATATATATTCTGATAATTTATCTTACGATTTTATTTCACTTATAAAGTGATTCAAGTTAACACTCTATATTAGTCATCCCAAAAATATTAACGTTTCGATCTTATTTTATATGACAAACAATCCTTGATTCACATATTACAGTTTCTTAAATTGATGTACTCTGCCTTAAACTTGGCCAATCTTCTTTATGGATTATTAATTTATAATTGTAGAACCTGATGAGAAATTATTGAAAAGAATATTCTTCGTTCATAGAATGGTTAAAGTTATAAAAAAATACTCACTGTGACAAAGTTCGACTCAGAAACCCTGAAAATGTCTTACAGTCTAGACGTATTTCATGAAACGTGCAAGCGGTTCTTATTATAAATTTCTGTGCTAAGCCAGTGTCTTATCTGTTTTATTATTTTTGAAAAAATTAGTTACTAACCATAAATCGGATTTCACTATAGGCAGATATATTGAGTGACTTGTTCTGTATCATTAGTTAATCCTTGGTCTATTATTTACCTTTTCAGCATTTGAATACATAATGAATCCTGATCTTCTAGGCGATTTAGCCATTGAATGTCATGCTGATGAACTCCCACGAAGACGTTTACGTAAGTAAAAAGTGTTCTTTTCATAGTTAACCTTTATAACTATACCATCGATATCTGAAAGTATCTTTGTCAAGCTGAATAAAATTGCTCAGGAAGAAAAGGGTTTTTCTTGTTTGTCAAGTACATTAATAATAATGACAAAATGGTAATTAAAAACACTAGAAAGTATATGTAGTTTCAATAATGCTGTTACGACAATACTTATGTAGTCTTATGTAGTTAAAATTCATGTACATCAGTTTGTCCACTTTTTGATATGAAAAACATCTTTGTATTCCTGATTTTTCACTAGATAAGCTGTCAATAATTACAATTATTTATATCTTGACAGTAAACGGTTCTGTTTTATATTTATTACTTGATAATTTAATTTGAATACACAGATTCTTCTGGGCTTTAATAGTCTGTGGATGCACAAAATATCTTTTAAATCCACATTTTGTGAAAGGATTTTATCAGCAAATGAAAATGTAGGTGCTGTACACTCATGTTGTAAAAGTTTAAATTTCTTTAGCCACATGATCTGAGCGAATAAAGCAATCTCAAGGAATAACGCCCTAGTAGAAAATTAGCCAGCATGAAGTCTTGATGAAGGGTAGTATTCTTTCACTGAAATCACTTGCCACTCTCGTAAGATATGAGGATGACTAATGGTTGATAGATCAAAGATATCAGTATAGAAATAGCATGGTTGTTGATCTGGGTCATTTAGGTGTTCATCAATTTATATATTTAAATTTCCGACATGATTTTGGTTAGCATTCGCTAATAAAATAAAAAGATAATCAATGTCTTCCACAAATTTAAATCTCTATCCTATGTGACTATAGTTACTGAATATTCTTCCCATTAGTTTCTAGTCATTTCATTTTATTTTCTTTTTTTATCATCTAGTCGTATTGTTTTGATGTTGATCTATGGATATCTTTCTTTTTGGGTTACAGCTAAACAAATATGATTAGTTAATTTAGATTACAATAATGCTTGTTTTCACAGAAATTCACCGTTATAGGTTAAATGATGACATTTTGTCATCTAATGGGACAAAGAGTAATTCATTGAAATACTATTTGACGAGGTTTCTGTATATATGCTTTGGTAGAACTTTAGAAGTCTTTACTTTTGGTTAATATTTAGTTTTGGATTTGTAACCACTCTATTTTCATTACTTTGATGTGGCATTCATTCGGGATTGTTTTAGGAAATGGATTGGTCATTAAAGACAGGAGTTAGAAACTGGTGTCTTCTTAGTAGGAAGACTGGGATTTTATACGTATGAATAAATAACATAGAGAAGTTTGACTTCACACCCCTTATAGCTCACTTATAATCACCTTCAACTAGAAAGAAGAAAATGAAAACAAAGCTCACCGAATAACTGTTATAGTTTTTTCGCCATATATGGGGTTGATTGTTTTGTAACATCCTCATATAGACTGATTTTATTTCAAATCATTGACCTTTATACATCCACAAAACAACGAGGTAGAGAGTGCCTAATAGTGTATGACGGAAGGGATTTATAGTGTTAATTCGTAGAAAGTGAAAGCATTGCATATCAGCATGAAGAAAAGTTTTATAATTACTCTCAGTAAAACAGTGCTCATACAATTAAAGTTTCTATTATTTGACCTGTGGGTTGAGATATAATTGCCAATGTGTTTTCTTAAGGCGAATCAAAAGAGAGTGAAATATTGAAGTGGGATAAATACGATGTTTGTGAATTAGTTTCAAGGATAGATTGTATAAGAGTAGCTCAGATTTTTTAAATTTCACTGCTAGGTAGTCTTTGTAAGGGAAGAATTTCAAGTGAAAAATATTCACTTTCAATGTTGAGTTAGCAGTGCTATAGCTGAGTGATTCACCAGACTGGATGAAGGAACGATTTGTTTAGTTTCTTAAAAAAGGATTACGTTTCATTCAAACCACTTGTCCCATAAAAGATCAAGTCCTTGCTTAATGGATGTAACTCTGTAATCTATGGTACAACTACTAAAAATGTGAAATTTAAAGCGACGTAAAACAAACTGTCTATTTCATATCGTGATACTACTCAGAATAAAGGTGCAGTATTCTAGAGGTGGTAGAATACATAACTTGTGCATTAAAATTCATTGGCTATTGTTATGGAGGTTGAGTACTGTAAATCTGTAAATTGGTCTAATGCATCGTGATTTAACCTGATGAGGACAAACTATAGTGATATTTGTAAGAAGACATGTTACACAACAGGACGATTAAGAAGAAATTTAGTATTCAATCAAATTAAAAACAAAGTAGATTTTGGACAATAACTCGATAAAGCGTATGAGAAAGTAACTATCACGAGAAGAGAAAAATCACTGATTGTAAGTGTATGGTTGGTTATTCTTGACAAGTGGTTGAAGTTTAAAATTATTTTTGTCCACAAAAAAAGTAGGTAGTTAAGAAAATGTCAAAATTGTGAGACTTCAGGAATGATATTTACAGCTTCCATGCTCCAGTAAGATAAAACAGAAAAATTCAATTATTGTTCAGGCTTAGTTATAGTATATCTTTACAAATTGTCTTTTATTATTTTTGTTGAGAACGTAGATACTCACTTCTACAGATCTTATTTCAAATTATTTAGACGAAAATAAATAGCATTTTACTTAAGTATGACATTCGCTGATTATATCCTTGATGGATTAAATCATATATCTTTCGGACTAGTACGGTATAATGTTTATCAGTATTTGTTTAGGGAAGCTAGTTATAGAAACTTTACAAATTGACTTGGTTTCGTTACATTTAACGATCTCTATATGTTTGTTCACAATTGTTTATTCTTTAGTTTGACGTAAATCTTTTCTGAAGTGTATAATTGACTTTATTATAATTTATGTATTTAATCTTTAAGTAGATAAATCATAAATCACAATAGTCGTTTGTTATAACATGGTTTTTTTACAGCAAGATACATTGAATGGTGTGCTCCTGAAACAAGTCGGTTTGAATTTACTGATAAATCTGATGTATGGACTTTGGGGTGTGTAATCACCATTCTAATATACATTAAATGTTTATTCAAAAATAAAGAAATCTTAGCAGTTGATCAACTCAAAGCAAAAGAAAATGTATTTCACCATCTATCATCTGCAGAAGAATTGGTAGGTGTTTTTTAAATGAGAAAAACACTAGTAAATATGTTTTGAAAACTTCATTTGTATGGGTATAAACAGTATACTAGTTAAACTCATTTAGTATTGTTTGTTTGAATCTTCTCATCAATGTGTTAGGACTGCAACTGGTCAGTCTCTAATTGGCATATGTGCATACTATGCGTATTGCCTCGATATAGCCTTAATTCACAAGCATTGTAAGCAAAGATGGATAGTGGGTAGCAATGGAATCCAGTTTGACGAGCGTTTCGTCCTATTTGGGACTCGTCAGATGGGTGTGCCTGCATCTCAGAGTTGGTGTTCACTCTGGGACTCGAACTCAGTACCGTTCGCTTCAAATGCCATCGCGTTATCCACTCTTACAATGCTTGTTAGTTAAGGCTATATCGAGGCAATACGCATATGCACATATGCCGATTAGAGACTGACCAGTTGCAGTCCTAGCACATTGATGGGAAGATTCAAACGAACAATACTAGATGAGTTTAAACATCACTCCATCGAACAAGCAAGTGGCTATCAGGACTCAGTGGCCGAGTGGATAACGCGATGGCATTTGAAGCGAACGGCACTGGATTCGAGTCCCAGAGTGAACATCAACTCTGAGGTGCAGGTACATCCAGCTGATGAGTCCCAAATAGGACGAAACGCGCTTTCTGGATTCTACTGCTAGCCACTATCCATCTTTGCTTACAATGTATACTAGTTAAGTACTAACGTTCATTAATTTTTATTATGCATATCAGAAATAAACTAAAATCTCTCCCTCTATGAAGAATTATTTAATTTTATAAGCTAAATATATCGTTGTAATCATTTTGTCGAGTTATATCTGAAAAACGCAAATAAACTATTCGTAGCGAGAAATAAAAAAGCTATTGATAGTGGTAAATGTTTTCAAAAGATGGATAAAGGAATCTCTGAAGAAATGTTTAATCCCACTTTATATAACTTCATCATTATTTATTTGTTACCAAGTATTATTTTTGTGGAATTATAGACGCTTAAGATGATCATCTTTGAACAAAGGTTTCTCAGGACATATATCAAGATAATTTGCAAGGGTTTGTATTTACTCGTTGTTGATGTTAAGGATTGACATTAGTCAGTCTTTTTTGATATATGTGCTTCCGAAGAGGATTGTCTCGATTTTGACACTAGGTCACCAGCTTTTTTTAGTAATGTGAGATTCAGTTTGAAAACTTTTCTAAATAATGACCGCCGAATGTGATCAATTTATAATGGAATGATTTTTCGTATGAATTAATATTCTTTGGTCTCCATTAAATAAATCTTCCTTACAAGATCTGTCTTTTTGGGAGGCAGGGGCTACAGAAGAGAAAAACCTATGCTATCCCGGTATAAAGGTGCAGTTAAGAGATATTGCCAGTAGCATAATGATATCACTTTTAAAATAAATAATGATATAATTTTATGCATTGATTGTGTTATTGTTGATTTTCCCATATTTAAATCTGATTTATTAAGCCTATTATTTCATTTTCCCCACCATCACATAATAATAAGTCGGAAGTGATCTAAACGTCGTTTTTTTAAAATGGGCGCAGAATACAGTGACCTTGTATTACTTTATTAATTATTAGACATTGAAAGGAAGTGATGAGAAATTGTACATCTAAGCTGTTTTTAAGTAACCATTATCATTAATATTATGAGTTCAATGAAGTTAATATTTATTGTAAACATGAATATACGTAAATGTATATAAGTCATGGTGACGCTGTGCGTAATCAGTAATCAAATAGAATGTATAAAATTTCACTGATATTCTGTAATTTTGACTGCCCACCTTCATTTTTGAGACTAATGAGTAATACCGTTTATTTAAAAATATAGTCGATTTCATAAAAATAAACGGTTTGTAATGACAATGATTTCATGATTAATAACCGATTCAACTGGTGTGTTTGTCCGTAATAATAATAATATGTATGACGTCTATTTAATGAACATATTTATTATTTTACATAGTAATAGTAATAATTTCCTGTTTATTGATTGGTTTATGGTCAAATGAACATACCAATTAAGTCAAGTGATATAGAGGGGGGAACAATTCAATTGACTACTAATAATTGAATGCATCCTTACATTTTTATTTCTACATAAAGGGATATGAATTGAGTTAAATCAAAGTGAAATATTGCCAAAAAATACTTAACAATTATCAGACACTATGCTATTCTACTAATTTGATTATTACATTTACTGAATTATTTTTATTAAAGTAAAAAAAACAAAACAAACCATTACCATGAATTACCCATTAACATAAATTAGTTTACCCTAAAAAAAACAACCACTCTAATTATTTATAATGTAAAAAGGAAAACATCCTGTATTTTAATGAATGAAAATAGTAAAATCAGTTATTTAACTAACTATTTGGCATTTATAACAAGTGAATTTATATGAATAGTAATGAATTCAAAGGGGAAAAGAATGGTATAACAACAATTAATTCTGATAATCAAAGTAAAGAATTCGTTTCTTCCTTCCGAAAAAAGTATATGGTTATTATTCTGAGATGAAGATTCTTTAACAGTATTCTTTTAAGAGTTAATAAAACTAAGTTTATATATTGTAGTACCTAAGCACTTTTTGGCGTACGTTTTTTTCTTAGTTATTCACCTACCTTAATAATCATTCAGATAGAGACATCCTAATAAATTACTGTTGATTATAAAAAAGTATAATGATACCTGGATCGTAAAATGAATAAGAAATCTTTGAAAGGTTACCATTTAAAATTGTTATAACGAGTTTTAAATGATTTGTTGTATTATCCGAATTTAATAGATTATTTCAAAACTCAGACAGTATAGGAGAATATATGAGATTTTATTTAACCAGTTGTTTTTTTCATAGTTTAAGTCATGAGTCAATTGAAGCTAGACCACCATCGAAAACCTGGAAGCACTGGACGGTTGCTCAAACATCGTGAATTGGTTGAAGTTAGACATTAACACCATTGGATGACAGCCCAGTGGTCTATCGGTTAAGTGCTCTGACTCGAGACTGGTAGGTCCTGGGTTCGAATCTCGCGAGTGCGGGATCGTGGATGCGCATTGCTGAGGAGTCCCATAATAGGACGAAACGGCCGTCCAGTGCTTCCAGGTTTTTGATGGTGGTCTAGCTTCAATTGACTTATGATTTCAACTATGAAAATACTGAAATCTCCACAAAACCCTTTCTGATCAACCTGTTGTTTAGGGTATATAATCTATTAAGAGTGAAAACATTTATTTCGTTAAAATGGCATGGTATTTAAAGACGAGATTCAGTGGATAATACAATGGACTTTGAACTTTTTGATAATGTATTTAAGTTTCGTATTCTTGTTTAGGTGGGTAACCAAATATTTTCATTAGTGTTCATATAAAATGTTCTAATCTATACTGAATAGATAAACATATACACAGTACATAAATAAATATGCTTTTATTTGTATGCAAAAATTAGTTTTAGTAATATAGTTCAGTCGTTTTTGCTTAAAAACAGAAATTGACTGATATTTACGGTACGACTTTTCAGTTTTGTCGTATTTGAAGTTTGAAACTGTCATCTACACTGACTTCAATCTGAATGATAATTAAATTTCATGTTTGTCTAGAACTTAGTGCTAATTTTTTCCAACCAACAATATCTTCTTGTTTGTTTTTACTTGATTTTATCACTGAATAATTATCCTGTGTCAAATATTTTTAAAACCAACCGACCTTTCATTAGGTACAATCTTCACGTAACATTATCTGTGAGTTAAGTTTTTTCTATCAAAGAGATTCAAGAGTCATCGGTCTTAGTAGTTATTCAACTGATAGCAGTCTAGACTTCGAACTTTTCTGAATAGAAGTAACAAACTATTTGTTCCTTTGGTATCTGTGTGGAAATCCCTTTAACATTATAAGAAATTTCTATATAATTACTTTTATAAATCATTAAATAGGAATAATATATATTTGTAAAATCTCAGTGAATGAATTTGTAGTAAATCCAACGTTTCGCCTGGCAATCTGGTTTAAGCTTTTTCAAGGAATTATAATTAATTAATTACAAATTCATTTGCTGAGATTTTACAAATATATATTATTCCTATTTAATGTCTTACATCAACTCGGCGCTCAAATACTGTGAAACTATTCGCTCTAATTTAGACGAGAGTTCTTATATACTTTTATAAATGTTTACAGACATTAATTAAAAGGAATTCATGTCTGTTTGTTTATTCATATAAAGGAAACACACAAAGAACTGTTTAAGTTACTTTCTCAAATGATGAAAAACAATCCGTCTGAGCGTATAAGCTTAAAGTAAGTAATTCATTTGCTTTTTTTCTGTATAAAAATAAAATGATGTATCGTTAGTTTTTCTAAAATTATAAAATTATTAATACTGATTGCTGTTGTTAATCTTCAATAATATCATTATATATGAAATAGTCTCAGCAATTGAAATTTAAATAATTCCAACGTTTCGTCCAGACATGTAATAACTTCTCTATACTTGGCGCCCAAATTTTTGTCAAGCTATTCGTTCTAATCTTGATGAATATTCGTACAAACTTCAATAATATAGTTTCAAATCGTTCATTTTTCCTCTAGCTTATTATTAAGTTGAATATTGAACAGAACACAAGAAAAACTTTCGTTTGACTTCTTGTTTTCACATTGAAGTACAATGATTATTACAATTTAAGTGTTTAAAAATTTCATTTGGCTAAAAATTGAAAAAAAGATAAACACAACAGAAAACAATCAAGTTTTGAGGAAACTTATTCAAGGAGCTACAAATTATTTTGTTTGAAATAATTAAGTTTACATAATTAAAAATGTGACTATATTAAAAACAATAATCTTGATATATGTATCGCAAAACATTATCTTAAAGAACTACTCCTACGATGTATGCTCAATGTGCAGTCTAAATTTAATGATGTTTTCTATGAACAAACAGATGGAGTTGCAATGGGCTCTCCATTGGGTCCTCTCCTGGCTGATCGTTTTATGGCCAATCTTGAAAATTCTGTACTTCGACCAATAATTTAGAAATTTCATTTATGTAAGAGATATATGGATGATACTTTCATTATTTGTGAAGAAGATATGGACCTCAATGAAATCTTAAATATTTTCAATAATTGTCACCCGTCAATACAATTTACTATAGGAGAAGAAGCGAACCATGAATTTCATTTTCTTGATGTCTGTTTAAAAATAATGCCTGATGGTTATTTACAGAGATCTATAGAAAACCTACTTGGAATTGACAATGCACGAATTCCCATAGTTGGGTCCCACTGAGTCGAAAGAAGAACTTAATTCACTCTTTATGCTCTAGGATCAAGCGAATCTGTTCCAATGACACAATAGATAAAGAATAAATTCATCTTCGACGGACCCTCATCAAAAAATGGTTATCCACCTAAGTTCGTCGATAGCAACTTAACACCTAGACTTCACCGAGAAAAAAGCCTTGACAGTGCAGAAGAAAACTTTGTTTATGAATATGGAATTGAAAGGAGACACGGCTGCTGAAATCCTGAATAAACGGATTTCAAAATCGTCGAATAAAACTTTCTACGCAGCTAAGCTTTGATTGGTTTTTTCTAGCCGGCCTACCATTCTGGGATGCTTTAAGGATAAGCTTTCGCTTTGGGCCACATCAATGTGTATCTATAAATTTACTTGCTCATGTGGGGCACGTTACATAAGCCGCACAAAGCGATCACTTTCTAAACGCATCTCGGAACACTATCCGGCTTGGCTCTTAAAAGGAGAATGTAAAAAGATAACTAGTTCGATACAAGAGCATTTAATTACCTGAGGACAAATCGCTCCAAAAGTAATCTATAGAGTCAAAGGAACCGGATAGAAGGGGGGGGGTCGAATCAATATTTTATGCACTGCTGAGGCATTAGCAATCCACGAACTCAAGCCTGAACTTTGCGTGCAGAAACGATTTGTCCAACCTCTCACCCTTCCTTGTCCCTAATTCCTTTAATGGGTATGTTTCTGGTTGTCGTTTTTTTCTTTTCTGCACTTTTATTTGATTATTATTGGTTTTTTGTTTTTTAAATTACTGTTTTACATGTAAAACTAATTATTATTACCTTATACAAGTTTTCTTTATTATTATTCAGCCTATGATTATGACCTTGGTATTTGTCGCTTTTCTTCATATCTGTCAATTGGACAACTATCTGACCCATAAATTATTTTCTTCTTTACCCCTTGATTAGTACGTAACCTCATTTATTATTTATTGTCGAATCAATTTATAATGCAATCTTCCCTAGACATATATTTTCCATATAACCATATATACGAATGTACAGCTTAAGTAAATGATTTCATCGAAAAGAAAATTTTCTTCGCTGATTTCTCTTTTTTTATTCAATTAAAAATGTTTTTATCACTATCAGCTGGATTATTTTAATTTTCCAATTTATAAATTAAATAAAAGTCATTAAAATCCTTTTATTGGGCTATTCTTCTTCTTCTTATTATTATTATTACTATTATCATTATTATTACTATTATTATCATTATTATCGATTAGAGCTTTAAGTGATTGTAACTTTAAAAAAACAATTAAAGTGATAATTTTCTTTTATGAAAATTTTTAAGGCCATCTTCATTTACCGTAACGTAATGTAGACAAGAATGAGATTACAATTTGAGAATTATATACATAATCTGAAGGATCTGTAAAGATTGTTTTTTTTTCATAGTTGATATCATGAGTCAATTGAAGCTAGACCACCATCAAAAACCTGGAAGCACTGGACGGCCGTGTCGTCCCATTATGGGACTCCTCAGCAGTGCGCACCCACGATCCCGCACTTGCGAAATTCGAACCCAGGACCTACCAGTCCTGGGAGAATTATTGGAGAATTAAGGGGCATTAAATAGATACATCGGAACTTTGTTTGTAATTCCATAAGGCAAAGTCACATGAAAAGCTAATAGTTCTGTTTTAAATCGTTAGATGATGAGTGATTCTATCTTATACTGTAGGTAAAATTTTTATCATTTAATCTTGTTGTGTCCAAATCTTGTTTTTATATCGATGGATTTTACACATGTCTTTCGGTCGTTTGTATAGTATTTAGTGTTACTCATATATTTAGCAGTAAATACATATTAATATTAAATAAATCTTTTTTTGGTACACAAATTTTCCATTAGTGGAAATGTTCAGCTTATTTTATTGTCCATTTTATAGTGATCTTTTAGACGATTTATATGTTCAAGTACTTATGAAACATACGAATCCAGAATTTATCATGAGAGTTAAACGATGCATTGTAACAGCAGCTGAAAGTAAGTTTATTAATCTCAATATTTATGTTGAGTTTCCTTTGATATAATTAATTGATTTTAATTTTGCAAGAACCTTATAGAACTGTCTTCGACACTATGGTGCGCCTGAGAAGATCGTTAATATCATTCGGAATTCATACGACGGACTACACTGAGAATTCGTTCATGAAAGACAGCTGACAGATGCATTCCAAGTGAGGACCGGAGTTAGACAAGACTGCTTACTCTCCATCTCGCGCGTGTATTTTCTCTTTGAAAACCTCCACATCTGAGGGGAAGCACGAAATACAATGGACAGCTTGCGTGCCACTATACGATTTAGGCTTCACATATGACCTGATCCTTCTATCCCATTTACACGAACAAATGCAGGTTAAGACAACTAGCATAAGAGAAACCTCTGCATCAGTAGGTCTCAACATAAAACAAGGAAAAAGCAAAATCCTGAAATACAATACGGAGAACACCAACCCAATCATACTTGATGGTGGAATCTTTCATGTGCCTGGGAAGCATCATCAATGAACAAGGAGGATTTGATGCAGACTTATGGGCGAGGATTGGTAAAGCAAGGACCGGATTACTATAACTGAAGGACATATGAGGCTTGAAACAATTGTCTGTAAGCCAACATCAGAGTTAGGATCTTTAATACGAACGTCAAGACTGTTTTACTATACGGAGCTTAAACGTGGAAAGCTACAACCATTATCAAAAATGTACAAGTATCTATAAACAATTCCCTACACAAGATACCTAATGACCGTTGACTGAATGCCATCAGCAACAGCTTTCTGTGGTGGAGAACAAATCTGATTCCATCTGAAGAGGAAATTAGGAAAAGACGTTGAAGTTGGATAGGATATACATTGGTAAAATCACCAAACTGCATCACGAAGCAAGCGCTAACTCTAAATCCTGATGGGAAACGGAAAAAAGGAAGACCAAAGACCTCTGTGTCGGGAACTGAAAGCAGACATGAAAGGGATGAATAGCGACTGGAAAGGATTGCTCAGAACAGAGTTGGATGGAGAATGTTTGTGAGCGGCCTATGCTCCTCCATGAGGGGTAATAGGTGTAAGTAAGCAAGTAAGTAGGTAAACTTTTCCATATATAGTTGCTCGTAAATAACTCAATGAAGATAAATTATAGAATTATACTTATAATTTTATCAGTTATGACCGATAATTATCATAAGTATATTAGTCCTAGTCAGTATAGGGTGGTGGAGATAGTTGAGTTTTATTGAAATCACGAACCAATCTAATCTGTAGTTTTAGCGAGTAGCCGTGACCGGTGGAGTTTAATCGTGTCCGATGTGAGATAGGTACTTACTAAAGACAGTGGAAGGGGGTCGCGCAATATCGTGGGCCAACTGAAGATAGAGTTGTGCACTAGTGAGTAACGTCTCAGTGGTGTTGAGGTTAAGCGTTAGTATGCGAGACCGGAACTCTTGGGTTTGATTCTTGAGTGTGGGGCCATGGATAGATACTGGTGGGAAATCTCATACTAGGTTAGGGCAAATGTCAGGTGCTTTCTGATTTCTGATGGTTGTCTATCTTAAATTGGCTCGTGACCTCCATGAAATCAGTTTTTCCAGATATGAATGTTATAACTGTTATGTTGGTAATCGCTTTAATGCCTGAAGATTATGTTCATATGTTTGTTAAGGACAATTGATCAAAATGAGGAATGATGGCTTACTCAATAATTTGTTAAACACGTCACAATAATAACTCGAAAAAGCCACAACGTAGTAATATTTTATTTCGAATGAAATAAATAGAGCTAAAAATTGATCAAATAGGATAACTAAAATTGTTTATTTAATGTGGTGTATAAATATTTATAGAAGTTATCATGAGGATGGAAAGACTTCCTACCTGCGGAATAATAGTTGCAATGGCTACTTTTACAACGAAAGTGTCACAATAAAATTGTTCAGATTAGAAAATTCAATATTTACAAAAACAGAAACAGTCATTTCTTAAATTCAATCTGAAACAAAATAGATATATCGAGGCGGTCCACACTGATGAACATTTACCAACGAAGATTGATGAAACTTCAGTGCTGAAAACTAACAGAGGGTACATTCAGACCCTTCCTAGTAATAGTATAAATATCAAACATGTTTGTGGTGTATGCTACTTAAGTCGACAGACATAAGTAGTATGTGATCATCTGAATCCAGTACCCTAATGAAAAGTAGGTTGACGTTTGCAACCAAAAGTACTAAGAATGAGTCCCGATGTGAACATTAATATTAAGATGGAATCATATGTAACTGACAAGTCCCGAATAAAATGAAATGTGGGTTCTGGGTCCCACAATTAGACATTAATCCATTTATTCTATAATGTTATATTTCCTCTGGTATTACAACATATCAATAAACATTTCTAAGTACCATTTATTAATTAATCAGTAATTTCTCCCGAAAAATATGAATGGAATAATTTTGAAAGTATAAGTTAATAGGACAATATGAATGAATATGTTAGTATAGTCAGTCAGTCAGCTACAACGTAGGACCTGGCACCTTTATGCATCGGTCCAAGTTGCCATACCTCGTTAGCATAACAAGATGAACACCGGATTCATAGAAATAGTTAATTTAGTGGTGGTAGTAGTATATAAATTATAGGTTATATATAAGGATATAGTACAGGAAGGAAGAACGTTATGAAGCAATTTTAATCTTAAGGTTTAAGGGAAGATAAATAGTGTATACACCTACGCCATTGTGATCGATTCTGAGCCATGTCACCTAGAGTCTCCAACCATTGGTTACGATAGTCACGCGGACCCCAACCAGGTAGTCTGCATCTACCAACATGGCTCAGACTAGAAGTTAGTGACTTCAAGCACTGATGCCACGTTTTGGTTTGGCCGCCCCTAACTTTCTTCCAACCATCCCCTACACTAGTCAACATAGCGCATCGTGGTAATCGGTGTTCAGGTTTACGTAACAGGTGGCCTAACCATCTCAGTCGATGAAGATTCATGACCTCATCAACTGATTTACCATCATTCCCTAATACCCTGTGTCTAACATCACTATTACTTACCCGGTGATCCCAGCAGATGCGAGCAATATTTCTAAGGTATTTGTGGTCAGATACTAGTAACTTACGAGTCAGTTATGCTAATCACTTATAGGTGTGAAATTTCATAGTTAAAATTATATGATGATACAGTTGAAAAATTTCTTTATTATATATAATAAAATTTCATAGTAAATTTTCTTTTCGAGATGTATATATCGGAATATCTTTGTTATTTATGTAATGAATTCTTACCTTATTTTACATGTACTAAATAATCATGAATTGCTTGTTAATGACTTGTTATTCTGGAAAATAGGTGTAACATAGAAAAAGTATATTATTAATTTAAAGTTTCACAACAGGGAAGGATTTTAGTTTGACAATCATTAAAACCCGGGGAATATCAGATGATTGTTTCTTTCTATTAACTGATCCCTCAATGGTGTGAATTCATGATATGTCCAGAGATCAAACCATGACTTTTAAATTTCATAATGAGCACACGATTTGGGATCTAATAGTTTACATTTCTAATGCTAGTCAATTCATTGTATGATGTGATCACCATTCATTGACATCCTACAGGGTTAAACATCGATGATCAAGACTTTTATCCTAAAATACTAGGGACGGTGTTAGTTACTAGTGAGTATATGATTTCGACTAAAGTTGAATGTTTGTGGAGGGTAACTATGATTTGATCTACTTATTTCCTGGCAAATAATTAACCTAGTTCGTGACTGATCTCTAATCATAGATATATTTATCGATATTCGACAATAGTGATATTTCTTGACCATATGGCAGCATTCCACTTCATTGATTGAGAGGTTTTATAGCAGTGAATATCATTGAAAGGAGCACAAAAGAAGTATATGAGCCTTGTAAATGCTCTTTACTTGAATCACGAGTCATGGTGAACTGTCATCAAAACTATTAGCGTCAATTGATGTTCGTTAGGGTTACTCATTTACGCTACTCTTTTTTAACTTGGTAATATATTTTCCCTAACCAAAATCTCTTTCACCCTCTGAATTTTCAGAGATTAATAATATGCTGGGAGATCTCCTAGTCGAATTAAAGTAGGGGGACGATACAGTTCTTTTTTATTAAGACACTGGTAAAATCCAGTCTTCTGGTCTCCTTGAGAAACAATGCTATGGTGTTTGAGATCTGTTTGTCCCCTTATAAGTGAGAAATGTTGCTCCAGAATCAGTCTAGAAAAAGTCAATCCTAAAAATAGTACACCTTGCGTTGCCCTACGGAAATAACATATCGCAAAATAACCCTAAATGACCATGTATAACAGGCTTTAGGCACTTGTCCTTCCAACTCTGGGGCCAAGCTACTAGGTCAACAAGATCATCATTAACCCTGTTTCTTTCGCATGAACCTCAAGAAAAAAGTCCCTTTTTACCATGTCAGGGGCTAGGAGGTAACGGCTTCTAACATACGTCTAACAAAACCTCTTCAAGCTTTCTTAAAACCTATTTTATCCCTACTATCACCTCTGCTCCAACGGCCTCACCTTTTCTCCGCGTGCCATTGATACTAAAGGTTTGAGTTAAAGAACTGTTCTTCGTGATTTTATGGCAGCAGAGTTTCAGAATTAATATTAAAGCTCTCAATGTTCGAACCTTATATAAAGCCGAACAACAGGCTCCACTAGCTGTAACGCCCAAGCGCAGTAGGGGGTATAACATCGCTCTCGGATCATAATTTGTTGCTTTCAGTCTCATTGTTCTTCAACCGATCTGTTTGAAGCTAAAAGAACAAGTGTTCCAGCTATTAGAGCTCAATAAGTTCATTGTGGATGGCAAGCTTAACCACTGCGTCATATCACAAGCTACTGATTGGTTTGTTGTTTTTCTACTAAAAAGTTTCTTTCTCTAACCTTCCTAATAACTTGTTAATTAGATGAGATATTATTTAATAAACACATACAGTAGAGTATATGCATTCTGATTTAGCATTAATTCTGCACTTTGTGGTCAAAAGTTTTTTATCCACACTTAATAAATACATTTATACACGCTAATGTGCACAAATAATATTGCTTTCTGACGCAAAATAAACTATTTGATACACTTACTCAGTGGACTCTTTCCAAGTCAATTGAGTAATGGGCTTAAAGAAAAGAAAACTGTGTTTGTATTTGAGAAGTAAATGAATTATCAAGTTCTTACTTAAATGATCATAGTCTGGATAAATATCATAATTTGATTCATAATGTTCACCTACTGTATTGAAGTTATTGTTCAGTGTAGCAATAAAAATTGTTTATGACTGAAATTTCATATTATTGCTTTATGTATGATTGACAGTTTTATGTTTTTAATTCTTTTTATAAATTTTACTGTAATTTCTGCTGAATACGTGTTAGTTTTTATTTCTTTCAAAAGAACCAGAGAAGAAATATATCCCTAGATTGAAGTTTATTACTAACTAGATATTAAAATGGGTAGACTTAACATGATAGTATAACCTGTCAATCTTACCTATGAGTAATTATTATACTACAATAATTAATCAACTGGTGTGGAAGTTTGAGGCCAGATAAATCATTTGTCTTATCTTTACATACATAGTGAGTGAACTGAAATATTGTATTTGTCACAAAACTTAAAAGATTTTTGTAGTCGATTGATTCGTGACGGGGATGATTATCATCGTTAACAATGATGATTATTGTGTTAAATCGTAAGTTGTCTAAAAATGAAAGCATAGATTATTGAATTATGACTCAATGATGATCAGGAGTTCGACCTTGTGTGAATTGATAGGAATGCACTGATAGATTGACAAATCGAGTGTCCGGTGTTGCCGACATTTCATAGATTATTGTGTAGATTTCAGTTCACGATGGAAATTGTTTTGAAATACTGATATATGTGGTTTTTATTACATGTACATGCCATTTTTACACAAGATGATGTTTACTTTTGAAGCTGTTAAATGTAATAAAAGAGAAAAAATGTTTACCTCAGAAATTATTGTAAATCAGTCATAAACAACTTGTCGCAAGTGCGTATTGACTCAAGTTTCTATTCTGAACATTAAAAATCCAAGAGGAAATTAACAAAATTGGAGTCAAACAAATCAACTTGATAATCATATATCTGATAATGAAAAGCTAAACATATGCTTTGTAGTTTCTAATTAGGAGTAAAATAACGAAGTGAGGAGTATGAAATAATACAGAAATTGAAGATTTAGAGGAAATTAAAGAATGAAATAATTTGCAATGATAGCAACTAACAGTTGCAGACAATGAGTGACATAGCTCAGAAGTGCTCACAATAACCTAGGAATTTTACTGTTTGTCTTCTTTTAAATCTAGGATTTTGAAATGATCTTACATCTTTTCATTCTGCGAATTTATTCTTTTTTCTCGAGTGGTATCTTCAGTTTATTATTAATCTGACGTAAATAGTAATGTATCACTTGAAGTTTTTGAAATTTTCATTTGTACCCTTATTTAAAAATCCTCTTTGATTTTAAAGAACCGTTTCCAGTGAATGATACTATGGAAGCGAAAATCAAATATCTTCATGACAATTGGCAACATGAAAATTGCATTGAGAAGGCTGTTGTTTGGTTCGCAGAAAATATTCTGAATGATAAGCATATTAACTTAACACATAGATTATCACTTCATTTATTTGATTTAATGTATTTACATCAAGCTAATCTGTCAATTATTACGTCATCTTTAAGGATATTAGCTTATTCTATTGAATGTGAACAATTGCAATCTATGTCAACATGTTCAAGATATCCTTATGAAGATGTTAGTAACCATTCATCATCATTATTATTATCATCGTCGTCGTCATATAGACTATTCAAAGAAAGTAATTACTTTAAAAATATCTGTAAAATAAACAATTTATATCTTGTACTAGTTATAATGAAAAAACATCTTCAATATGTCAATGTACAGAGATTAGGATTAGAATTTTTCAAATCGCTTATCAATATCAATTATTCTACATCTATTAATCTAGATGTAATAAAGGATTACTTACAGACATATAATAAAATATTTAAAAAGATTCATACCATTAATTTATGTCATCATTTGATAGAATTATTGAATTACACAACTAATAAAGATATGATTAAAATAGGTATCAGTTATTTGTGGAAATTTTGTATCTATGGTAAGTTAATTCTCTTTTTAAATATATAAATTATTTATCAGAAGGGGTTTTGTGTAGATTTTACTAATCTTTATAGAGTTGAGGTCATGAGTCAATTGAAGCTAGATCACCATGAAAAACCTGGAAGCACTGGACGACCGTTACGTTCAATTATGGGACTTATCAACAGTGCGCATCCACGATTCCGCCTCTCGAGATTCGAACCCAGGACCTACCAGTCTCGCACCAGAACGCTTAACCACTAGACCACTGAGTCGGCATCCAACGGTGTTAATGTCTAGCTTCAAGCAATCCAAAAATTGAGCAACCATTCAACAAAATGTCATCAATGAGTTGATATCCCCCAACAGACCTGACTGAGGAATCCCATAATAGGACGAAACGACCGTCCAGTGCTTCCAGGTCTTCCATGGTGGTCTAGCTTCAATTAACTCATGCTTTCTACTATTTTTAATAAGTTTTTTTTTGAAAGTTGTGTACATAAAAATATGTCACCAAATGAAATACATTTAAGGATAATTTATTTATGCTTCATAATAAAATAATGATTGTGTGATTAAACGACTGATTGGCTGATTCAAACTGCTCCTTACATATTTAAATTTGAGCAGCCAAAAATTGTTGTGAGTTTTCAATAAATAAAAGGAGTTGTACTTGAATACTGGATCTATGAGTTATGTTTCATAACTTCATGATGATCTGACCGATTGAGGCTTCGGTTTTTCAAGCATTCAAATATTTTGGACCATTTTGCTATTGATTTACTTCCTATCCAGTTTCTATGAACAAACTACCGAAAAAGATGACATTATTTATTTCTTATAGGTGTAAATAGTACATACAAATTAATGATGTCATTCGATCTGTATTTCTATATCTTTCTTTATTGAATATATTTCTTTCCAAATATTATATTTAATGTGAAAAATGTTAGTATCATTTAGGTTAGCCGGATCCTTATGGGTTATTCAATTTTAAAATGGTTTTCATCCCAGATAATTGAAAGATACTTAAATTTAAACTTATATGTTTAACATGGGGAGTCAATAACTAGTACTTTATCTAACATATCTATGGAGTTCACAACATACCAAATGATGACACAATTTCATAGTTTGGTTCATTTATAAAAAGTCAAAATATCCAGTTATGGTTGAGTTCAGAAGTATAATATTAAATTTTTAAACAAGGGATTCGGTGAGATTACACATTCTTTACGTTTTACGTCTAAGGCGGCCTGCTTGAACATTTGGACTACCTGTTCCTGCTATCTAGATGTTTTAACAAGTTATCTAATTTTGTGCGTTTCTGAAAGATGTACAAATTTTCGTTGTACAAGTTACAAAAACCCAATCAGAGATATCGTGGTTGCTGGTCATATGCAGCGAAAAGAAAATACATCATTTAGATGTCGATTGACTAGACTGCTAACTTCTAACTGGCAATCACTCAATATTAGTCGTCAGGATCGATCAAAAAGTAAGAAACGGAAACTTGTTGAAATAAATTGTGCTGAGAATTATATATTGTATCAAAAATATAATATTGAATGAAGCTAATAATAATAATAGCATTCGATTATCTATTAGCATCTCACAGTTTGTTCTAGAATCCTAACTTTCTTCTCGTCTGATCTTCAAGTGTGCTTTTGATGTACTGAAGATCTTCTCTCCTTCTGACGACTGTAAAAGCTCCAAAACCACATTCCGCTACGTATTACTTACAATCAATCTTGTGAGTAGCGTTTACAATAAAATTACAAGTTTCAATTATTGTTTGCGCGGTAATAGACTAACATGTTTGACGTCATTGCAATTAGTCTAGTTCTTCACGATTTTTGACTTTTATTCAAGTAACAACGGAGTAAAATACTCTATAAACTAATTGATAATAAGAATTTATTTTGTATGCATTACATCAAATCTAATTTTTAATGTCAAAATATCAAGACGATGGTCTAACTAGTTGCATTTATATGTTTTTGTTGTCATTTTTATTTCTTTTTATGTAAGAACCGATTGCTCTACAAGCAGCCGATAAAAACACATTATCTATCACCATGCAACTAATGGAGTCCAATCAATTTGACTGTGAAATTTTTACAAATGGTTCTATGGTTATTGTATCTTTATTACGTATTAGTAAGTTTATTAATTTGTATTTATTAATATTTTGAGATGATGTTAAATTAATACCATTTATAGTTTCGTCAAATGGTCAACAGCTATACAACTGAATATTGTTGTCACCACTGAAAGCTGATATTTATCAAAGGAACCTATTATTCACACGACTCAAACACAAATCTGAATACTTGGATGTTCAACAAAGTTTTAGTTTTTCATTGAAATAGTTTTTCTTTTTCTGAACAGATAAAGATTTTATGAATTGCAGCTTCACAAAACTGTTCAATTTACGAAGATCTATCCGAGGTCAAATAATTACACAAAGAATGAGTAGTTTGTACCATACCACTTGGTTATTCATCGTTTCATATTTAAAAAAATATTACATTCTTTGTACTTTATAGAACATTTTAGTTTTTTTATCCAAGAAAAACGAGACATCAATGAGAAGATTCAAACAAACAATACTGAGTGAATTTAAACTTAACCCCATTGCACAATCAAGTGGCTATCAGGACTCAGTGGTCGAGTGGATAACGCGTTGGCGTTTGAAGCGAAAGATACTGGGTTCGACTCCTAGAGTGAACACCAACTCTGGGATGCAGATACATCCAGCTGACGAGTCCCAAATAGGACGAAACGCTCGTCAAACTGGATTCCACTGCTAGCTACTATCCATCTTCGCTTACAATACTTGTGAATTAAGGTTATATGGAGGCAATACGCACAGTATGCACATATGCCAATTAGAGACTGACCAGTTGTAGCCCTTAACATCGATGGGAAGATTCAAACAAACAATACCAAATGAATTTAATTTTCATAGTTTGTCTGACAATATTAAAAGCTTGAATTTTTCATATGATTTCATCAAGGAAAGCATGACGTCTTGAAACAAGTCCCCTTTTATCAATATAGGAAATTCCTAAATAGCATATAAATTTACAATTGAGATAGATAATTGTCATTACTATTATATCTAAATCTAAAATGGAAATAGAAATATTTAAATGTTGTTTATGTCTAGAATGAAAATGTCAAATAAATGATTGTTTTGATATTGTGTAATAGAAATAATAAATTGATCGAATTATGTGGAACGTCATCAATATCGATAATTTCTGTTTTAATTGAACTCATTGGTATATCTAATTCTTATTCCAGTAGAAAACTATGCATGTTAAAATAATATTACTTTGATGGATATTTTGGTTAAAATATGTCATTTTAGTGTTTTTAAAGTAATTTTCATCACTGACTGATTGATTGACTGACTGACTGACTGACTTTAACTGAACAACTTTGGGGGAAATCCAATTAGGAGTGAACATTTATTACGTACGTAACAGAGGAACTCATAAACTGCATATAAGTTCAGATTTGGGATCGTCAAAGTTTCTCCCAACAAATATATCATTGAACTAAGTTTTAAAAATTTATTGATCTGTATAGTATCATAGGTGAGCGCATTGAACTTCTAACTTATGTAATCTCACAAGTAATCCTACTTCTATACTGTATGAAACAACTAACATGATAGTTTTGAATTCATGTTTGAGATAGTACGATTCTCAGTGTTTATTTCTTAAAACAAAACATCTTTGTCAAAATGTTTTCACTTCTAAAGTAAGCGAATTAACTATAAATTAAAAAAAACACAACAATAATAATATAATTTCCATACAATGATTGAAGATAATAATAAAAAAATAATCGAATTGTTTGTTTCATTAATCAAAAGTGATACGTCAAATAAATTTTTATATAGTAAGCAGAGATGGATAGTGGCTAGCAGTGGAATCCAGGACGCGCGTTTCGTCCTATTTGGGACTCGTCAGCTGGACGTACCTGCATCACAGAGTTGATGTTCACTCTGGGACCATGCTTATGAATTAAGGTTATATCGAGGCAATACGCACAGTATGCACATATGCCAATTAAAGACTGACTAGTTGCAGTCCTAACAATTCGAAGGGAAGATTCAAACAAACAATACTGAATGCATTTAAATTTTTATGTAGTTAAGATCATGAGTCATTTGAAGCTAGATCACTATGGAAAACCTGGAAGCGCTGGACGGCCATATCATCCTATTGTGGGACTCCTCAGCAGTGTGCATCCACGATCACACCCCGCGAGCCAGATTCAAACCCAGGACCTACCAGTCTCGCGCCAGATCACTTAACCGATGGACCAGTGGGCCGGCATCCAATGGTGTTAATGTTTAACTTCAAGCAATCCACAAAATTGAGTAACCATTCACCAATGTCATCAGTGAGTTGATATCTCCCAACAGACCTAGTTGAACTCCACTGGTTGTTATTTTATCAATTTAATAAACAGAAAATTTTTTTATTTGATAAAATAAGATGAAAAAGAAAGTGTATAATGTTTTGATTGAAACTATATTTCTATTGATTTAATGTATTAATAATTATTTTCTTTATTTATCTATCAAGATATAGTTAAAAGGCAGATTACAAACTGCAATAAGTTAATTTATCTTCTATTGCACGGTTTAATTCAATTTAAAAACTTACCAATAACTATTTGGAATATATGTCTATGCTTACAAGTTGTAATATCATTATCCGGTAAGTCTTTAAAATGTCTTCTCTATGTGTGTAAGGGTGTGAGTTTTTTTTGTGTGTATGAAATTATTAATAATGGTTATAATCATACGTTATAGAAATTCATTTTTTATTTATATGAGATCTCTCAGAATATGTACAGTAAAACCATGTTTGAAAGAAAGGATCTAATCGAGAACAGACTTTAGAAATATCATTGAAATCACAAATCGATCTAAGCTAGATAACATCATCTAGAATTGTGTATATTTCGGCAAAAAGACTATTAAACAATAAGAAAATCAACCATCATTGGTATTTACTTATTTTTCGTTTTAATGTTAATGATTATTTTATAGCTGATATAAATTATGTTTTTGTTGGGGTGACCCAGAAAACCTCTCGCAGTAGATAAGAAAGGCTCAAGAAGCACTAAGAATCATTTTATCCAGTCAGCGTTCACTAGACGTTTTGCCAGAAACATCACGAAAGTGAAAAAACACAAGTAAAGTTTCTAATTGACTGATTACTATACTGCTATTATGTTTAGTAGCATTCCAGAATTTTCGGGAAAACCCAAGGACTTCTAAATTACTATAAAAACCCTATATTTTCTGTACATAAATGAACCATTAGAGTAAAGTGCTTCTCGCGCAATTTGCGCCTTTTCTTTCGTGTTCAAGTTACTGTGTAGTTTTAGCCTGGGGGTTACGAGAATACTTTAAAAACCGAGTATAACGTTCAATTAGAAAGACTTATCAATTTTATTAAGCCAATGTGTATTTCCATTTGACAAACAAACAATTTACTTTTTCATGAAGTTGTTTTGCTTAAACATTGTTCACCCAGTTAGTTATATTTTTGTGAGGATGGTCCACAGGTGTTAAGTCGGCTTCCATAGAACTCTAACAGATCCTTCAGAGGCTCATAAAGAGCCCCAACCAATCAGCGATTAATTAGAAATTGTGTGAAGTTATGTTACTAAAATAAGGAGATCCTGGTTGGCTGATTAACACACTGCTACTATGTAAACTCAAGGTCTCTTAATTACTATAAAATTCCTGTATTTTCTGTACATAAAGGAACCTTGCAGTAAAGTGTTTTCGCTCATACTCGGGTTTTCTCCCTGGTGTTCAAGTCGCTGCGTAGTTCTAGCCTGGGGTTATCAGATTAGCTTAGGATCTGAATATAGCGTCCATCCTACAGACGTATCAATTTTAGATTGTGTTTCGAAGTGAAATTTAAGATAGATGTCTTATTTTACTTGGAATTTATATTAACATTATGTATTGGTATTCTAATTTTACTGTTTACACTAAAACATAACACGAAATTCATTGCCATTACCTGTTTAACGGATACTATACTGTTGTTAATGTTATTCAGCATTTAATAAAGTATGAGCATTTTATATTCTTATTTCAATATTACACAAACTTGTAGGACGAAATTTGCATCCTTGGCTTCATTTGTAGTCAAAATCACAATACATTCGATTAAATGGTATTAGTGTATTTGTTCACACAGTCTACATGTCAACAAAAGCTTGTCTATTCAGTTTTGAATACATCAACTTTGAGATGTAAACTCTTAAAATTTATAATACCTAGATCATATTATTGTTCATTGTATGCTCCTCATCTGAATGACTTATAATTTTTAAAATGATCGCTTCGTAGAACATACTATTGATTTTAGCTTAAAAACGTATACACTATTAGTGTTTTACAAAGTAGGCGCGTGGCGGCAACAGAATGTGGTGTCGTTAAGAAATATTGATGAAAAGTAAACTATTTGAAATTACTCTGCTAAACGTAGTCTACTTATTTCCTCATGTTTAGTATTGAAGAATGAGTTTTCGTAACATTTTTAAAAAAATCAGAGAGTTTGAGCAACAGTTTAATCTGCTAGTTAACCCATCTTTTTCCGAAATTTCGGCAGTTGACATAAAAACAATTTGAATGAATATATCTAAGATTTAAACGTTGAATAAATTATATTCATCGTTGGCAAAAGATATGTTTTGGAATCTGAAAATTTTCACGAGGAATTAATATGCTTTAATTTACATTGGTGGAACAAGACTTTTAATGTATGAATTTCATTTATTACAATTTACAGTCATTATTAAACATTACGAAAAATGATGGTTGATAAAGACACATTGGTGAATGACCTTTTACAACTTCACTCATCTCATTCATAAATTGACACTCTAAACTGTAGTAATTGCGTAAGCTTTATTTAATTAATAACAGGCCCATATCAATATATGAACTAAAAAGTTGTCAGGATGCTGTTTTTATCACTCATTTGACGGTTTCTTTTCGTTAAAAATTAAACGTCAGACTACCTTTTTATCTGAATCTAAATTAAGCTGTATAATGCATAATTTTGAAGAATAGGTGAAATTTCAGCCAGTTAGTCAACTGTTTGAAATTGAGTCGATTGAGCATATGGACATCTAAACAATCATGTTTTTCTTAATCATCGTTATGACATATATTCATTTATTTTGTTTTGTTTGAATCTTACCATTGATGTTTAGGACTGCTATTGATCAGTCTCTTGTCGGTAGATGTATATCCTGTGCGAATTGACTCAATATTGCCTAAAGTCGCAAGCATTATAAACAGAAATGGATGGTGGCTAGCTGCGGAATCCAGGATGTACGTTTCGTCATATTTGTGACCCATCAGCCGGACGTAACTGTATCCCAGAGTTAATGTCCACTTCAAGGCTCGGACCTAGTATCGTTCGCTTCAAACAGACTCAGCAGGTAAGTGGGTAATGCGGTGGTGTTTGAAGCGAATGGGACTGTGTTCGAGTCCCAGAGTAGAAATCAACTCTGAGATTCAGGTACATACAGCTGATGAGTCCCAAATAGGACGAAACGCGCATCCTGGATTCCACAACTAGCCACCATCCATCTTTAACTTATATATATTTTAAATATATGGTGTAATGCATAGAAAGAAAATTGTTACAAGTATGATTTGAAACCAATGAAGTCAGTTCACATTTTATGAACAGTTGACTATTCCTAAACATCCATATTTTGTCACATGTTACTATATGTGTTTGTATTTATCTGTGTGTAGATTGATTAGACTAGTTAAATTCACTTCTTTTTTTCAAAATAATAATAATAATAATTCAAAGACTTATTTCATTATTTATCATTTTAAAGGCCAAACTTTAGACTATATCATATTAAGCCATATTTTCTCATTTGATGTAACCCATGAAATCAATCAATTTCCTGTTATGATCTAAAGTTGGTTTGGGTAAATGTTTTTTCTCTTCTTCCTCTTTCCTCATTATTTTGATAAATTCAATAGTTTACTTTCAATAGTTTAGTTCAGTTTTTACCATGGAGACAATGAAAATTAGTTCGTTATTGTTTTGTTTTTTTGTTTTACTAGTCAAATTGACGAAAAATATTTTTGATAACAATAAAAAAAAGAAAGAAAAATCCTTGTCAATTTTATGCTCAAATAAAATTTTAACAAATAAAAAAATAATAACAATAATTAGAATAGTTTATGTCTCTATGTTACACTCTCACATGTTATGTAATTCATCATGTTGTTATTGTTTTTTTTTCTAATTTGTTTATTATTTTGTCATTGTAATTATCCTAGTGAAAATGTGAAAAGTAAGCCAACGTTAAAATGATCATCTTTAATCAATATATATGTATTGGTAAAAGAATGATTATATTTTCATAGTTGAAATCATGAGTCAATTGAAGCTAGACCACCAGGGAAAACCTGAAAGCACTGGACGGTCGTTTCGTCATACTCCTCAGCAGTGCGCACCCACGATTCCACATCGCGAGATTCAAACCCAAGACCTACCAGTCTCGCGCCAGAGCACTTAACCGAGACTGGTAGGTCCTGGGTTCGAATATCGCGAGGTGGGATAGTGGATTTGCACCGCTGAGGAGTCCCATAGTATGACGAAACGGCCGTCCAGTGCTTTCAGGTTTTCCCTGGTGGTCTAGCTTCAATTGACTCATGATTTCAACTATGAAAATACTGAAATCTCCACAAAACCCCTTCTGATTATAATGATTATATTTTAAAAAAGTAAGTGGAGAACCTGTAAAGTCTTAGAAAATTGAAAGTGTTGTTATCGATGCATTGATTATATTAAATAATGATATCATTTTCCTTTTTTATTTTAATAAATTAATGTTGAAATTAATGAACTGTTGAAGTTTAAGTCAGAAGTCCTAATATATCCTCTTATATGATATGTGAGGATTGGAGAAACTAGGTATTCTAGACCTCATTTTCATTAGTTAGTTTTTTCATTTCTGTTTTCTAGAATGCGATTTCTAGAAATTTTTCTCTTTAAAGTATTTTATTTGAAAGTAATCAGTTGATAGAACAGTGTATTCTACGAAATATTATCATCCTATTTTAAGATGATTCATTGTTATCATCCTGATTGTATTGTTAGCCTAAATAAAATATTTTGTTATGGTATACATTACGAGATGGTATTATTTAGACGATTACTGAAATTGAGAATGTGCTGAACAGCTATTTCATCTTAGTATAATAATCCTCCGCAAATGTATATCCCCAATCCTATTTGGTATAGAACCCAAAACCGTAAGTTTTTAAAGGGAGCGTTTAATGTCTAGCTTATTGAGCTGCTATCCAATGATTTATATGTCTAGATCAATTAATTCATGATATTATACAATTAAATTGAGTTGATTAACAGTATTAGGGGGGGTGGAGGCTGTAGAGCTTTCATTGTTTAAATCTAGTACATATTCACAAATGTGCATATACTAATAATAGTCATGTGTTTGTTAGTGACAAGCTCCAAGACGCAACTCCTGAAGTTTTAATAGGAGGCAGTGACTAGTGGAGTACAATCATGACGAGTGTGTGGAAGTTATACATCACAGGGAATGTATAAGGGTGACACAGTGTCGTAAATCTATTAAAGTTGGACAATAACAGCGTTAGACGTCTGCTCTTGGGTCTAAGGGTTAAGCGTAGTAGCGCAAGACCGAGAGTGCTAGGTTTAATTTTTGTAGTTTTTCGTGTTTTTACAATTCTGAGTCTTATAGTAGAATGAAATAGTTTTTCAACGCTTCTTAGTATTCATTGGTTGCTTAACTAAGAGTATTCAGTGATGTAAACAATGAAAATTCAACAATTTCCATAAAATCCGTATACTAGCCAAATTTTTGATGCTTACTCTCAGTCATTATCACCGCTACTATACTGTTTCAATTGCTTTACTATTCATTTTTTTACTTTCATTTCGTCGTACCAATATGCTATGGTAATGTAGGTAAATACATATTTAATCCAGGCTCTTAGCTGATCATGATTGATTGACTGAAGCACTACAAAATATGTTTCAACAAAATAAATTTACAACATTGATTAATGAATGCTTGTTTTCAGACGCAAAGTTTTCACATTAGTTCTATGTTGAATAGTTTTTTTTCGCAGCATAACTTGTATACATCATACATTACTGTAAAGGTCTTGTATTCCACTAATTATGCGCATTTAAGTACACTTCATTCCTCCAGAATTTAGACAAGGAATTTCCTCATGATGATAAGTTGTAAACGTTTTTTCTATCGGGGAAAATGTGTTTACATTGTGCAATTGTGGTAACTGGTTAGTTAAATGTCAGACTGATATTTTGTTTTTCTTGGTTTTACTCATTAAAACAATCAACCATGGCGGCAGTTTTTTTAGTTCATCGATAACGATTATATTTTATATACTATGGAAGAAAGTTAGTCAGTTTCAGTTAAAATTCAACAAATATACCTGTATATAAAAATTCATTCGCTGAGATTTTACAAATATATTATTCCTATTTAATGTCTTACATCATCTCGGCGCTCAAATACTGTGAAACTATTCGCTCTAATTTAGACGAGAGTTCTTATATACCTGTATATATTTTTTAAGTTTCTTGTTGTTGACAGATTGATTTGTAAACTTAGTACAATTTACCTCTCAATCTTGAATTCCAGCATTTCTTCATACATACCTTTTCGTCCATTCTTTTTAAACTATGATCGTAATGTTCAGTTTTCCTCACTATTATTGTCACTACATTATTTTCAATTGGATTATTATTCATCTCGTTATGCTAACCTTGTGTTAAACATAATTCGATGTGAGAACTTTAGCTAATGTACATCTGTTCTAGGCTCTGGGTTGATGACGAACAAAGGAAAGGCACTCAGTCACCTATTATTATTTGTTTATAACTTACTTTTGTGTAATTGTATGATTTAGATATAATTCTTCAGTTTTCATTTTTTATTTTATTTTGTGTTATGAATTTTAGAATATTTCGCTTTACAATTTACTGATGAAGTGGAAGAAGACGAACTGAAGAAAGAGAAGAAAAATGGCTTTGATATATTATATCTAATTTATAATATACATCCTGATAACACAAAGGTTATTGAAGCATTACTAAAACCAATCACATCACTAATGAAATATGGTAAGAAAGATTTTAAACTTCTTATAGAATTTCATTTAGTGAAAAGATTATTGTTTCCAGTAGTTAGTAGAATATCGTTAGATTTATGCTCTGTTCAATTTTTTTGTTGAGATATTTTACATTTAAGAAGTTAAAAATAAAATATTGGTCTTTGGTTGTAGTCTTTTTATTACGAACCATTATCATCTGAAATGTGCTTAAAAACTATGGAATATGGAACATTATTGTCAAAGGCAATCTGTAATTCTTTTTGAAAGTGAAACGCCCCAGATATTCTTGCACTATCTCTTAATATGTTCAGAACATAAGATTTCTTCAACATAATCACAGAACAGAACTATTCCTTTCATGTGTTCCATGTTGACAATAGTCTTTAAGTAAGAGATCAATCCTTAACTATTAGTTTAGATTATGCTGGGTGTTGTAAGCCTCTTCGTTCAGACACTATTTACCATGGCTTAAGATGATCTTTACGTGATTTATATCTTGGAATATTTCATTCGTATTTTAGTAAATAAAGCTACGTGTTTTTATGTTGTCTATTTTAGTAGTACACTATTTTTATTGATTTTTACCGAGCTACTACAAAGTGTGATAAGTTTGCCTGATACAGTTTTGTGCTTTACATTATACCCAGTTGATACATCACTAAATATACATTTAAACAAAATATTTTGTAACTGAGACATCAAGTATAAATTATTAGTATGAACTGTTAACATTTGTGCATTCTCGTAAACAATTTTTGTTTTGATAAAATTTTTATTATTCACTCTCAATAGTACTGAGAAAGAATACACTATTTCTAGTACATATCAGGAAAATATATACTGATTGAAGTAGTACACATTAACATGTGTATGTATATGCATAAGTACATCAATAAATCCGGGAATAAACAAATTATTTGTAATTTTAAAAGAAAGTTTGTTAGGCGTTTGAAAAAGAAAAAAAAGAAAAACAAGAAACTTATTAATTCTAAGTTGATAATTCTAGGCTATTCTAGTCATGGCAATAATCACTGTGAGGTTATTCAGTTCTCTATCTTAATAGGTTAGACCAGTAGAAAAATCATTTTGAATAAAAAATAAAGGTCATGAAGTTTGGTATAAGAGAAAAAAGCAAGGTTGATCATTTAATACGTTTGAATAGAAAATTTGTAATAATACAAACGATCAGTTTATATAAACATCTGTCAAAATTTGAACTAATAGTTTGACAGAAATTGAGCTTCAAGTATATAAAAGACATTAGATGCCAAAAGTATATTTGAAACAATCTCAGAGATTAAGATTTATATAATCCAAATGTTTCATTTGGCAAACTGGTATGAGCTTCTTCAGTCAATTAATCAAAATCACAAATATATAATTGGTACTCACGACGTCGAGATTATTGAGCTTATTTGAAATTACAAAAGAATTTGATTGTTTTTATGGGGAAATAGTTAACGTGAGTATAATTGCAGATGTATGATTTAGTCTTCTTGATTGATGTGATGTGTAACCAAATGTTCTAAAATGAGAGAATATTAGAGGACAGAACAACTGGGCAGCTATGAGTTACTTTTCTATTGATAAGTGATAAACATACACGAGTAAATATTTCATACGATAATAAACGTGATTAAGTTTTGTCAAATATAAGTGAATGTAGGATGATAGATCTGTAGGACACTCGCCAGTGTATGGTTTTTGGGATTTACTATTACGGTTATTGCACTACTGGTCATGTTTAAACCGTTTTGTGTTTCTTAGAGAATAAAGATCTGAAGTTAAACTACGAAAACTAACTTGAAGCATACTTTATCAGTTAAAGATTGTGGCTATAATACTAAATATTTAAGCCAAATAACAAGGGGGGAGGAGAAAAATATGTATCTGCAATGACAATTCATACAAAAAAGGTGAGATAATGGTGAAGATTTATATTGGAAGCGGATGCTTTTAATGTTGTTGTGTTTAGCTAGATGGTTTAATTGAATAGTTATTATCGTTCTGAACAACGAAATTGATGTCTACTTCATCATCATTGTCTTTAATTTCTATTCATCTACAGTGTCACTTGCATTGGTGTTTTGATACTTGTAACCAATTAAATATCAGTCAGATTAAGAAATAGAAAATACAAACTTAACCAAATTTTATAAGTCATCTAATGTATGTATTGTGTTAGGCTTTTATAGATTAATTTCAATGAAAAGTAATTTTATGGAATATCAAAATTTTAGATTAATGACCGACGAAGCGAAATTTTCTGTATTCACATTTTGACTCAAATTGCCGAATAACCTGAACAATTTATTGTGTCATTGAACTAATCAATAAAAATAATTCAACCACATTTGTGTGAAATATGAATCGATTTAGAAAAACAAATTGTTAAGACTTTTATACAGTGAATAAATTATGTTGAACAATGAAATTCAGGGAACTTGTTTCATCATACTTGGGACTTTTCAGCTGGATATACATGCATCTAGATGTTGTCATTCATACTCGGACTCAAATCCAATACCTTCGACACGTCACCTCGTTTTCTAACAAGTCATTGCGTTAGAAATAATCCCTAACTTGTTTAATGGATATAGTGTCTGTATCGTAATAAGACAATAATTTATTGCTTTTGTTATTGATATTCACAACTAAATAATAACAACATATTTATCCTAAGTAACTTATGACAAAATGGATGTATTGAGACAGTCATCATATAATGGACATATTGCCAATAAAGATTGATAAATATTCAGTCAAGTATATCAACAATATAGTAACTCAAACCTTAACTAATAGGATAGAAAGAGTTTTAGTTTCTCCAAATAACAAATTTTCAAAGTGACAAACTATGTTTTATGTTATAAGTGTCTCTATGGTGTAATGAGACATAGATTACTAAGAGAACTAACATTATATATTTTTCGTTTACGTTCTTTGCTACAATCTTTTCGTTACTTATCATATCAATTTGTAAAATCAAGGATTTAATATTGTCCAATAATTCCAAACATCTAAAATGTAATACAACAAATAACAAGCAAAGATGGTTAGTGGATAGCAGTGAAATCTAGGACGCGTGTTTCGTCCTATTCGGGACTCGTCAGATGGATGTACCTGTGTCTCAGAGTTGATGTTCACTCTGAGACTCGAACCCAGTACTTTTCGCTTCAAACGTCATCGCGTTATCCACTTGGCCACTGAATCCTGACAGCCACCTGCTTGTGCAATGGGGTGATGTTTAAATTCATTTAATATTGTTTGTTTGAATATTCCCAAAGTGTACTGCTATAAATATATATTACTACCAGAAAACTCGTTTAAGAGATACAATATAAAGAAAAAAAATGCAAAAGTCAAACATGATATGAAATTTTATTTGTCTGCCTTTATCATTTTAATAGAATAACAAAATAAGTTAATATTTCAATGTTTAAAGTAGGTCAAATTTTGGAAAGGTAGGCATGAAATACACTGAAGACAAAAAGTTGTCTTACCAAGTCAATTTTAAATACGAAGATAATAAACAAGGGATATGTGGCAAAAACTGAAGGGAATAATAACATTAAAATTTGGTAAAGTTGTATACTGAAATTTTCTTGAGCATGAAAATGGATAACATTTGTATATAATTTGTTCAAATACAATAATTATGGTTGTCTACTTGAATGTCTATAATTCTTGTTATATGTTAAAGTAAAGTTTACACCCTGTAAAAGTTTAAATTCTACCCACCATTTACACACTGTCAGTCAATCAAATCAAATAAAGTTTTGTATCATCTCTTATCAGTTACATAGGTTTTCTCTAAATACATATGTGCCATTGACAACACGAAATAAACAATATTTTATTTTATCAACTACTATTAGTCTACTAGAAAACAACAAAGATTAGCTGGATCAAATGTCATGAGTGGGATGTAAATGGGAAGATCATTTATATTTCTTGTTCTAATTTCTACAATGGAAACTGTTTTATAATCTACAGTTTAACCATTTGTTAACAATATCAATTTCCATTTCCTCAAAATATTTAAAATTTTAATATTTTGTTATATAATACTGTTGTGCGAAGTTACAAAGTATATGCATGATACATATACAGAGCCTTTGAGTGTACATTCGTGTGTTCCTGTGTGCCCTGCAATACTCAATGTCTGTTGGCCGGATACCATCAGCAACAGACTGCTGTGGGAAAAAACTGGATCCCGTCTGAAAAGGAAATTAGGAAAAGACGTTAGAGGTGGATAGAACATATGTTACGGAAATCACTAAACGGCATCATGAAGCAAGTGTTAACTTGGAATCCTGAAGGAAAATGAAAAAGAGGAAGACAAAAGAACATACTGCGTCAAAAATTGGAAGCGTACATCAATAGGATGAATGTCAACTGGGAACAACTGTAAGGGATTGGCATGACAGAGCTGGATGAAAAATGCTGGTGAACGGCCTATGCTCCTCCACGAAGGGTAACAGAAGTAAGTAAGTAAGTAGTAAGCGTATTCTGCAATCGAAACTGTCTTCTCGATTGGCCTGTAAGTGTTCTGTCAACACCATGCTTTCAACCCACCGAAACTCTTCACTCTGTTTGAGAATTGTGACAACTTCGACACCACGTTCCGCCACAGTCTGCTTACAAACATCCTTGTGAGCGGCGTCTAGTACACTATGTTAAATATTATCATGTATATATTTGTCCATTTCATATATTCAGATTTTTGTTTGTAGGTCAATGTTTGAAAACTACCAACATATTGTTTTTTATTCAACAGATTTTGTAACATCCATGAAATGTACAAGTTTAAAATTACTGTTAGCATCAATTATGAAAAATAAAGACGAAGAACCGGTATCTTGTCTAGTGATTCTAACTTGATCAATGTTTTGTTTTCGATTGAAGTGCTTATATTTAGTTTGCATTCTATAACAGCAAAAGAAAGTTGACCAAACTAGTTTTATTTATATCCCCATGATTGGTAATAAGTGGTGATTTTATTGTCTA